ACATGGCTGTCCAGATGCTCCTGCGCAGACTGTTGATGACAACACAGTTCAGCCGACCACTGGTTTGGTCAGTGTCCTTAGCAGAGCAGAGGTGTTCTCATACATCTCACTGCAGGAGGATGGGCAGGATCAAACAGAGCCTAGGAGTTATCATCTTGTTGAGAGCGGGCAGCAGGCTTACATCACGGAGAATGGGGTTCCTGTCATCTTGGACAGTGCTGAAGATGATGTGGGACTGGATGGTGAAGAAGAGAATGGTAGAGGAGCAGCACACACTGATTGGGAGAAGACTGCAGCTACCACAGATGAAGAGTCGTACATTAATCATCATGAGGTGCTCAGAGAGAATGTTGTTGAAGATGTTTTGAGTAGCGAAGGAGAAATTAACTGGTCGCCTCAGCCAAATGGTAAGTTGTAAATGTGGAATGTAAAAATTGTCTGTATTGTATTTTGAAATTTAAATTAGGTGGGTGCCATTTTACTGCACTCTTGTTAATATTTTTCTTGTTGTTGTTAATAAATTTTTTTTGTTTTTTTTTGTTTTTTGTTTGTTAATGTTCTTCTTGTTCACGTCCACTGTGCTCTTGGTAATGTTCTTATTCTTGTTACTTTTTTTCTTGTTAATGTACTTCTTGTTTTCTGGACTGTTATTCATCTTCTTGATCTTGTTAATGTTCTTCTTGATCTTGTTAATATTCTTCTTGTTCTTGTTAATGTCCTTGTTTTTGGTAATGTTCTTATAGTTCTTGTTAATGTTCTTCTTGTTCTTGTTGAGTTCTTTATCTTGTTAAGGTTCTTCTTGTTCTTGTTAATGTTTTTGTTTTTGGTAATGTTCTTAGAGTTCTTGTTAATGTTCTTCTTGATCTTGTTAACATTTCTGTTTGTGCTAATATTTTTCTTCATCTTCCTCCTTTTCTCCTTATTCCTCCCTTACTCCATCCTCTTTTGTTCATTGTTACTGTCTCTCTCTTTATCTGATCAACATGTCCTACTTTACCTCATTTTCTTATGCTCCTCCCCTTTATTTCTCTCTTCCTCTTTCGGAAGAGAATAGTTTCAATAGTTGCATTGTGTATGGTGATGAATATGTTTATAAAATAATTATCAAATTTGTGTATTTGGATGCAAATAGTAATGAAAAGGTGCAGTAAATGTTTATTAAGTTTTTGATAATTAATGTTTATTTTCCTTTCTTTCTTGGCAGAGAGTAAATCACGTTCTGTGAAGATATTAAAGAATGAGAAACAAGACAGGTAAGCTTTCTAAAAGTGTTCTGATTAAGAAGTGTCATCATAGCACTTGGGACATTCGTAAAGCGCTCTATCCACATCTTCAGCAGCAGATGCAGAGTTTCAATTCCGATGGTAATAGTAACAGTCTGATTGTGTGTCATCTCGCCCTTCCTCTAAGTGTTGAGCATCGGCCAGATCCCCTGGTTACTCCTCGCTGCACCATTTGTATCCAGCGGTGATTAACTACTTGTGCCTTAACTACTTGTTGCCTATGCACTCTTTGTTACCTCCCAAACGACCCTTACAGCATCTGGCTTGCCATGCATCAGTTTACTCAAGTGTAGTGCGGTACCGGCCAGTCTGTCAGCTTACTCATTTCCGAACATCAAGATTTTAAAAGTAAAATGAATATCAGCCATTTACCAAAGATCTGAAAAGTTAAAGGAATAAATAGCCATTTTCCAAAGATCTGAAAAGTTAAACGAATAAACAGCCATTTTCCAAAGATCTGAAAAGTAAAAAGAACAAACAACCATTCTCCAAAGATCTGAAAAGTTAAATGAACAGCCATTTACCAAAGATCTGAAAAGTTAAATGAATAAACAACCATTCTCCAAAGATCTGAAAAGTTAAAAGAATAAGTAGCCATTTTCAAGTCATTGGTGCCTAGAGCGTATGTTACCAGACCCATTTTTTTATCAGCCATTATGCAGCCCATGGTGATGTTGTCAACATTGTAGATGATTTCACTTTCCAGGACATTTCCTTGTACACATTTTAGGGCTAGATCAGTCCCCTGTGCGGGTTCTGAGGCCCCATTTTTTTAAGGATGGGGGGGGGGGGGGGGGGGGGGTGAGGGTGGAAGAATAGACCGACTGCCCCTTCAACAAAGATGTTGTAAAAGGTGACTAATTGGGACTCTTTCCTTTAAAATCTGAGTGCATCTACCTGGGATGTGAAGAACCAGCAGTGTGCATTCAAGTTAACTAAGATCTTATGGTGCTTTATTAATATCCTTCCCCAAACAGAGTTAATCCACAGGTCATGGGACAGTCTAATATTTCAGGGGGTGGTACATAGGCTGCATGCAGTCATGGGACCTAGGCTGCATGCTTTCTTGGGACCTAGGCTGAACTCTCTTGGGGTCGTTTAAAGCATCAGAATGCCAGGAAACCCAGCCTTACCATTCTAAAAAATGTTGGACTTTCCTGTGAAGTCATCTGGGATAGGATATTAATAAAGAGCCGATCCTACTTAATGGCACAAAAGGTTGAAGTGTCTGCTAGCAATGACCACACTCGTCAGAGTGTCATGAACATTAAATGAAAGCCGTGCCTAATGCATGCTTTCTGTGTCATACAACACTAAGTGCCCAAAGGCATCTACAGGAAATGTTCCGTTCAGTGTTCTGTGGAAGTGAGATACACATTTTGTGCAGGTCATCAGTCTTTGATCTGTGGTCTGCATCCTAAGGATCCCTGAAAGATACAGTCTTTAATGAGTGACAGGCTTGATATGGGGATTTGAGGTTCTTCTTCTTCAGCATTCAGAGCCCTTGAGGTTCATTGCTGCAGATATCACCCACCTCCGTTGTCTCTCTAGTTAGCCTTCTCTTTCCAGTTGGTTACACCAAGTGTTTGTAGGTCTCTCTGGATATTATCTCTCCAGGTATACCTTCCAAGCCAGAGTGCATCTGCCTGAGAGGCAAGGAACTAGCAGTGTGCATACAAATGAGTCAGATCTGTAAAACGGATGCACACGCAACACTCAGAACAGGACTGCAGTTGAAAAGTGGATGAACAACCAGAACTTTTTGCCAGAGTTTACAGCTGGTGAACGCGAAGAAGAAGAAGAGATCTCTCCAGGTTCTTTTTGGTCTGCCTCGTGGTCTACATAATTTTAGCTGCCTTTGGGATTTGAGGTTGAGCAGTCATATACAGGATGGGACAATTCCTTGATTGTGCCCAATACCGTAGCACCGTGTAGCAGCTCTGCATTTACAGAAGCCTTCTTGGATGGCGGGGAATGTCCATGTTTGCCCCTGCCTTCTCTAAGTCTGTCTTCCCCTTGTGGCATGCAATTTTTAGTTATTTGAAAACCCCACCCTGACTTTTGCCGGGGGACCTAAATATATCCAGGCCTAAAATATGGCCTAACGGCTGAAGGGGTTTTCGGAGACCTCTCCAGGGTGATCCTTATCCGCATGGTGGCACTTTGTGTCACCAGGTGTTTATTATTTGTGTGATGTCCTGGTGGGGCACAACTTACCTACATACATACTCAGTCTTTGTACGGATGTGCTGCATGAGTCCTCAGTTGGTAACACGTGTGGATTTGGAGATCATCAGGTCACAGCACTGATGGCGCTATGCAACCCGTGTTATTTCTGACAGATGCAAGAGTGGTGCATCAGGCACTCCAATCTGGAAAACTACCTGGTATACTGACACTACTCTCCAAACTAGTCAGTCAGTGCAAAGTAACTATTCAATCGATACCATCCCACTGTGGAGTTTGCGGAAATGAAAGAGCTGATAAACTAGCCAAGGAAGGTGCAAATGAAAAACAACCTGACATACCAGTCTCTTGTCAACAAAAGAAGAGAATAATCAAATCAGTCAGAAAGCCACCAACACCGGCACAAGAAGATTACCATTTTATAGAAAGACCAGAGCTATCAAATGCCCCTGAGTAACCCACAAAACTAACAGAGAAGGCTAACCCACAAAACTAACAGAGAAGGCTAACCCACAAAACTAACAGAGAAGGCTAACCCACAAAACTAACAGAGAAGGCTAACCCACAAAACTAACAGAGAAGGCTAACCCACAAAACTAACAGAGAAGGCTAACCCAGAAAACTAACAGAGAAGGCTAACCCACAAAACTAACAGAGAAGGCTAACCCACAAAACTAACAGAGAAGGCTAACCCAGAAAACTAACAGAGAAGGCTAACCCACAAAACTAACAGAGAAGGCTAACCCACAAAACTAACAGAGAAGGCTAACCCAGAAAACAAATGCCTGACAAAGTCGGATGTGTTGGCCGAAAGGCACAAATATTGCAGCTCTGCTGTGAACAGGCACTGATTTACATCACTGGGATGAACAGTGAAGAAGACCATTGAAATCTTATCTCCATTTGTAACATAGTGTCATTGAGCCAAAAAGTGCTTACCCACCTTGAATAGCAGGATTCCCCATGTGGGTTCTGGGGCCCCCGTTGTGGATAAAAGAAGATAGACCCACTGTCTCCCCAACAAGCATATCCTAAGAGTTGACTAACTTGGAGCTTCCTTCGAAGTCAGAGTGCATCCATAAATAACTAACAATGATTGCTTGGAAATGGCTAATGAAAGTAGAACATTATATACAACAATGAGAAGGAGACAAAGTTCTTTGGTCATGGGATGAGAAAAGGAGCAGGCAAGGAACCAAGAATCTGCATACAATTAAGTCATATCTGTTAAACGAATGTGCACGCAACACTCAGGTTCTGGAACAAGACTAAATTCCAGAAGGGGACAAACAACCAGAACTTTCCACTGGAATTACAGCCAGTGAATGCAGAGAAGAAGAAGAAGAATAGCATGATAATGTACCAGTTAAAAAAAGACGCCAAATACAGTGAGGAAAAGAGGGTTAAATTACGGGTTTCACAGCAAACCTTTGACAACAAGAGAAGTTTACCGGTCTTAGCTAATTTGGAACCACTGCAGTCAGCCTTCATTGCGATAGCTCAGAGGATGTTTGGTTTGGTTTTTTTAAGGTTCTGTGAGCTGAAGCCTGATGTAGCACCAGAGGCAGAAAGGACAGCTGAGTCATGTGAAAGAGACAGCAATTTTAACAACAGTGCAAATCAGATGGGGCAAGGAGGCGAGGGAAATACAAATGAAAATGCAAATTCTCATCGCAGCACAGAAAGAGGGTCAATACACAGAGGGGATGCTTGCATACAGTCCTCAAGAGTCCCTAGCAGCAGGTTGGTAGTTATGATTTGTGGCACTTTAATAATGAGTTGTCATACTTAAGTAATGAGTCATGACACTTAAATAATGATGTTTGCCACTTTAATAATGATTTGTGATACTTTAATAATGATTTGTGATACTTTAATAATGATTTGTCATACTTTAATGATGATTCGTCATACTTTAATAATGATTTATCATACTTTAATAATGATTTATCATACTTTAATAATGATTTGTCATACTTTAATAATGATTTGTGATGCTTTAATAATGATTTGTGACACTATAATAATGATTTGTGACAGTTTAATAATGTCATCTGTATCGTGTGCTCATTTTCCTGCTGATCAGCCTCTGCGCCTCTTTCCTTGTACCAAGCCTTCTGCTATTATTTATTTCTATGTTCAATATATTTCAGCTGTCTGAGACAAGATGCTGTTAACTAGACGATCTTCCTTGATGTTCAAGCCTTTTAGAATGTCAGTATTTCTTTTCTTCTGTGTCCATGATTCTCTGAGTATCCTTTTATAGCATTTCAGCTCAAAAGCCACAATTTCTTTCTTAAGGACTGGGAGATCAGATAGTCCACAACTCACATCCTTTAGACTGCGCCATGAGGGATACCCTCGGTGGTGGCGGTAGTCGCCGGAAGTACGCAATTGACACGTGACTGAGGCCCTGTTTTTGGCCGCCATTGGCTACCATCTTCTGTGCCCGTTATTCGGAGGATAGCCCTGTTTATTATATGGCCATGCTACTTTTGACTTCAATTGAACAGTTTCCATTGCTGTTTATTATGGAGCCTGAATATTCCAAGTTTTTGACATTCTCAATTTTGTTTGTTATTCATTGAGCAATCAATCAGCTGCCATCTCTACATTGAAGGTTGGTGCAATGGATTTCCAGAATGCCCTGTATCTTGTTCTGGTTGTACACTCTCTCAGACTGCTGGCCGTCCATATTTTGATGCTGTCCTCCCACTTTTATCGCTGCCCACCTCTTGCTCTCTTGCCCTCGACACCCCCCTCCCCCTCCCAGGATGGTTTTTAAAAGCATGTTACGCCTTTTAATGGGGTCAGAGTATTTCAGTTGTCTCTTTTGTATTTCTTTCAGTAATTTTTTTTTATTTGTAGTCTTTCCAGAACCTCTGTGTTGGAATGTGTTTGTTTCCATGAAATACTACCTATTCTTCTGTGTAACCACATCTCCACAGACTCAGTTTGATTTTCCTGTTGCTTATCTATTGTCCAGGTTTCTGCACCATTTAGCAGGACTGAGTATACAAAACATTTGACAGTTCTAATTTGCACAACTTATTGAAGACAGTTTTAGCCATTCACATTCTCTTTTTTATGTCTGTTTTGCTTCTGCCATCATTTGTTAATTCTTATTTATTTATGTATCTGATTATAACTTACAAATGTATATATTTTATGCCAGTTCTGTTTCTTCTAGATCTTTTCACCCTGAGAGTGGTAACCGCACACATTCATACGATCGTGGCACCACACCGTCCAGAGGTGTCGATCAGTCTGGGTCCAGAAGCTTCTATCAGTCGACTTCCAAGGATAGTTCTTACTTTGAAAGCCGAGATTATCATTCAAAGGAGGATAGTTCACATAACAGGTATTAATGTTTATCATTCTTCTTCTCCTTCTTTTTCGCCTCCTCCTTCTCCTTTTTTCCCCCCTCTCCTCCTCCTTTTTCTCCCTTCTCCTCCTACTTTTTCTTTTTTTCCCTTCTCCTCCTCCTCCTTTTCCCCTCCTCCTTCTTTTTCCCCTTCTCCTCCTCCTTCTTTTTTCCCTTATTCTCAACCTCCTTTTTTTCCCTTCTCATCCTCCTCTTCTTTTTCCCCTTTTCTTTCTCCTTCACTTTCTTCTCCTTCTTTTTCCCCTTCTCATTTTTCTTTTTCCCCCTTTCCTCCCCCTTCTTATTTTTCCCCTTCTCCTCCTCCTTCTTCTTTTCCCCCTTCTCCTTCTTTTTTCCCTTATCCTCCTCCTTCTGTTTCCCCCTTTTCTCTTTCTTCTTTTCTTTTACTCCTTCTTTTCCTCCTCATCCTTCTTCTTCTGCTCCATCTTTTCAACCACCTCCACCTTCTCCTCCTCCTTCTTCTTCTTTTCCTTTTTTTTTTAATGTTACCCTTAGAATGGTTGTTTTAAACCTTTCTTGTGCCGGGACCCTTTAAAACAGTTCCTGTGATGACCCCCAACCATAAAAACATAATTTCATTGCTTCTTCATAACTTCAGTGAATATGTGATTTCCGATGATCTTAGGTGACCCCTGTGAAAGGATCGTTCATGACCCACAGGTTGAGAACCACTGCCCTAAATTTTGCCTGGAACGTAAAATTTGCCTAGAAAACCCACAACAGTGAAAGAAATGCTGGGGCTGGTTCTGCAGCACCGTGTAAAGAATATGCAACTGACTTGATTATATGTGATCTTGGTGTGAGATAAGGCATTTAATTTCCTGGGAATTTAGTGTGTTTAAAATATAATAATAATGTTGTCTACAGAATGTTGTTATTGAAATGTTGTATACAGTTGTATTTATGACTGTTTGTGTTGTCTAGATCAAAGGACCCCGGTTCTGTTGACTCATCCCAGATGTCAGCCAGGTACACCCGCATCCATCAGCCTGGACCCAACAGCCCCAGCAGACCCGAGTCCACCACTATTCCAAAGTTTAAAACATTGCAGGACCAACAGGTGCGCTGTGGACATTTGTTTTGTCATGTTTAAACACATCTGAGCGTGTGCGTTATCATTGTTGTAACAGCTGCTCTAACTGTTGAATGCTGAATTAAGAATCAACATCATAGCTCTCGGGACACTCCCATAAGTGCTCAGTCCTCATCTTCAGCAGGAAGCAAAGAGTTCCAATTAAAAAAAACACAACCATTTCAGTTAAAGATGCAAACAGCGGGGAATGGAGAGTGAGAAGCAACACAGAAATTCATAATCTGTTTAAATCACCACTGATCACTGGCATCATGAGAGCTAATAGACTGAAATGGTTGGGGCATATCGAAAGAATGTCAGATGACAGAGAGAAAAAAACTGTATACACGAGAGAGATGAATGGTCGTAGACCACGAGGGAGACCAAGAAGACGAGATAATATCCAGACAGACCTGCAAACACTTGATGTTACCAACTGGAAAGAGAAGGCCAACCAGGGAGATGAATGAAGGCGGGTGATATGTGCAGCAGTGAACCTCAAGGGCTCGGAATGCTGAAGAAGAAGAATATTTAACAACACTTTAACACTTGTTTTCTCACTGCAGTTTTTTGTGTGTCTGTGTGTGTTAGTGAGAATCCTTTGCTTCTTGCTAAAGACTACTTTTGCCATGGTAATTCTTTTTCTAATTTCTGCAAAGCATCTTGCATCAGATATTAAGACTGTTCCTAACTAGTTGTGTCTTGTAACTTCCTTAAGCATGTTGCAGCTTGCTTTTATGGCACTTCTTTTTCCTTGGGGTGACCAACATTTCCATTTTCTTTTAGCTGAATTCCAAGCCCAGTTTCTGTCTGATCTATTACTTTGTCGAGATTTTCACTTCGCTGCAGTCAGATCACCCCATACTTGCTTCACTCCTCTGCCAGTGACAATCTAATGAAATGTTCATCACTGTGCTGTTTGAAAAACTGATAAACAAGCAAAGAGTCCTGGCATCATCATCATGTAGCAGGTCCTTTGCTCTCATCACAGTCTGCCTGAAAGAAACTCGGTCTCTTGCCAGTTCACCCACCTCATGAACTTTCATACTCAAGGAGTCGCTTATATCCTGTGCCCATCTTCGTGTCGATTGGCCCCTGCCCCTCCTTCCTGGTACCATGCCTTCTGCTATAAATTTTTCCAAGCCATCGTGGCGCTTGATATGACAAATATTTCAGAAAGGATACTGTTTATTACTCAATCTTCCTTAATGTTCAGATCTTTTAAGATGTCAATAAAGAGTCCTGGTACAATCCAGAAATATGCGCACACAATAAATGCTTATGGCGGTTGCTAGAGGGGCCAGAGCCAACAGCCACCACCAGAAATGCAGTTTGTCGTTGATGGAAGTACTCAGCCACAATACGATGGCTATACACATGTAAAATTATTACTAAGATATTTCATCAGCCTATACGTAAATCTGGTACCAGTCACTATTAATGCCTCCACTTAACCACTGCAGGTATTCATTGTCTGCAGTTAACACTGTGGCTATCATCACTGTGACTTTCATTACCGTGACTATCATCACTGTGACTATCAATACCGTGGCTATCATCACTGTGACTATCAATACCATGGCTATCATCACTGTGACTATCAATACCATGGCTATCATCACTGTGACTATCAATACCGTGGCTATCATCACTGTGACTTTCATTACCGTGACTATCAATACCGTGACTATCATCACTGTGACTTTCATTACCGTGTCTATCATTACTGTGACTTTCATTACCGTGACTATCAATACCGTGACTATCATCACTGTGACTTTCATTACCGTGACTATCAATACCCGGGCTATCATCACCGTGACTTTCATTACCGTGACTATCAATACCGTGGCTATCATTACTGTGACTTTCATTACCGTGACTATCAATACCGTGACTATCATCACTGTGACTTTCATTACCGTGACTATCAATACCCGGGCTATCATCACCGTGACTTTCATTACCGTGGCTATCATTACTGTGACTTTCATTACCGTGACTATCAATACCGTGGCTATCATCACTGTGACTTTCATTGCCGTGACTATCAATACCGTGACTATCAATGCCCAGGCTATCATCACTGTGACTTTCATTACCGTGACTATCAATACCGTGGCTATCATCACCGTGACTTTCATTACCGTGACTATCAATAAAGTGGCTATCATCACATGACTTTCATTACCATGACTTTCATTACCGTGACTTTCATTAACGTGACTATCAATACCGTGGCTATCATTACCGTGACTATCAATACCGTGGCTATCATCACTGTGACTTTCATTACCGTGATTTTCATTACCGTGACTATCAATACCGTGGCTATCATCACATGACTTTCATTACCGTGACTTTCATTACCGTGACTTTCATTACCGTGACTATCAATAAAGTGGCTATCATCACTGTGACTTTCATGGGAAAATATCTTTAAAACACAACCATTTTACACACTCACACATAAATGCATGCATAGGTGCACTCACATGCATACACACACAATATGCAGGCACTCCACACACGCTCAGACACACACACACACACACACTCACACTGTTACTCACAATCTCACTAACTTACTCTCTCTCACTCACTCACTAACTCACACTCTCACTCACGCTCGCTTACTCACTCACTCACTCACTCACTCACTCTTTCTCTCCCTCACACACACACACATACAAAATCAGATTAAGGAAAATAATCAATTAAAAACAAGTACAGCAACGAACCATTTGGCTTACACCTCTAGGATCCTGTAAACTAATTATAGCATGGCACTTAACTTAACCGTGTGACCCGGTTGCCTAGAAAAAATAGGACATAAATAAAGTCACTTTTAAAAAAAAGGAACCCCCCCCCCCCTTTTTTTTTTTTTTTTAGTAAATTGTGACATCTCCTGTCACTCTGAACATTTATGCAGAAGCAATGAATTATATTTGCTAGTTAGTCAGTCAGTTAGTTTGTTACTTAGTCGACAGATTATCTTTGTTGTACATCAGGCAAGTCCACAAGCATTCTCATCCCATCTTAATTTCATCCCCTAACATCTGGCTGCCTATAATACCAGTTTTGTATTTGTCTACCATGAATAAAGCCATAACATCTCTACATCTCTAAAGCAAGTCAGGAAATCGGCTTTTAAAGAGAAGTGGTACCCACAGGAAGTGTCAGTATTGTGGCTTCTTGTTGGGAAAGGGTGAACACAGAATGACCACCACAATAACAGAAAATAACATTATCATACAAGCATACACTGACACTATCATCATGTTTTGGACCAGTTTTCCTTGAACTTTCCCTAGGTGAGCTGGCTGGAGATGTTTAAGGTCATAGAACAACAACACAGAACAGAGTTGCAGTCCCAGTATCTAGAGCACCAGAAAGTTCTTCAGGAGATGCAAAGGAACATGGAGAAAGAGCTGATGAAACAGCAGGACACTTTGAAACAGAGGCTCATGTCCCACAGGGAGGTAGGACTTTTGACATGCTCCTTATTCTTCTTCTGCTTGTTTCTTACTGCTTGTGCCGTAGAGCTTATGGAACAGCAGGACACTTTGAAACAGAGGCTTATGTCCCACAGGGAGTTAGGACTTTTGACATACTCCTTAATCTTCTTCTTCTTCTTGTTTCTTACTGCTTATGCTGTAGAGCATCACAGTTAGATGTAGTGTCCTGTCTTTTGCTAGTTATGTAACTTGACTTAATGTCATATTGCGTTTGTTTAGGGTCTTTCTTACTCTCTCTAGCCATCTCTTTCTTGTAGCCCACATTCTCATGTAGTGTTCTGTAGGTCCGGGCTATTCAACAGAGTTTACCCAGGGGCCAAACTTTTGAAAATGGAGATTCGTCACGGGCTAGAGGCTCGAGTTAGAACATAGAAAGATCATTAATACAATACAACTGGCAGTGATCCGGGAGCCACTTACTAAGCTTCCGCGGGCTGCCAGTTGAATAGCCCTGCTGTAGGTGCTGGCTGATTGTGTTCCATTGTGGACAGATGACCAAACCTTTTGAATCTTTGATGTTCTGTGAAATCATTTACCTTCACCACTGTTCTTAATCCTTTGTTTTTCATTTCTTTAAAGTAAAATAGGTACCTTCCATATATTTACAGTATCCTCATGCAGCAGGTCCTTTGCAGAACATTGTTCTAATTCTTTTGGTGGTCATTGCTGCCTCGTTTTCTGAGGACTTTACCGTCCATTACTGTCCTTTCCAAACCATCATGATGTTTGACTCTTTGGCTGCCAAGGAATGCATCTTGTGTTAATTTATAATTGGTTTAACAGCCCTTTGGTCCCAACATAGCTGAAGTATTCCAGAATTGATAGTGTTGAATGTTGAATTGAGAATGGGCATCAAAGCACTTGGGACACTCCCATAAGTGCTCCATCTTCCATCTTCAGTAGCAAAGAGTTCCAATTCTGATGGTGACAGTAACTGTCTGATTGTATATCGGTCTCGTATTTCCCTTGAGTGTTGAGCGCCAGTTCCCCACAGTGCATTCTCCTCAAACCATAATGATCTGTTTGTGCCTCCATACTGTTCACTTGCTCCCAAAGGGCCCTCACAACATGTAGCCTGTCATACATCAGTTCACCACCAGGTCGTGCAGAATGATAGTGTAAAAGAGTGGATATAGCCAAGTATTACTGCATTCTAGAAGTTCACTTAAATAAATGCTGGAGGGAGGGGGGGGGGGGGGAGATGAGACCCTCAAGGTCAAAGAAACATTGGTACATTTGTTTTGATAGCGAGGCACACATGCCATTTGGAGGTGACCAGTTTGATTCCCGGCACAGTAACTGTAGCTTTCACTTGTGATTTTTATGTTGTCTGGTGTGGACTTCTTAGTTTCTGCTTCTTTCTTTGAATGCCGATGAAAACATTGTTTGTCTATTATATATATATATATATTGGTTCTATGGCTTCAAGGGTTTCCCCCTCTGTTTATTTACCTAAATTATGTCTTATGCAATGAAACCGACCAATCAGATCTCTTTCTCAAATGTTTGTTGTATTCTAGTCCACATCATCCACCGAGGCGGGGAACTGATGTATGACAAGTTAGGGCCCTTTGGGAGTGAGTGTACAGTGCCGAGGCGCAGATAGATCATTACGGTCTAAGGAGAATGGCACTGCGAGGAGTTACCAGGGAATCTGGCCGACGCTCAACACTCAGGGGAAGGATGTGACAGTTATACAATCAGACGAACTAGTACCATGGGAATTTTAACTCTTCACTTGCTGCTGAAGATGGGTACTGGGCACTTATGAGAGTGTCCTGAGTGCTGTGATGTCGATTCTTAATTCAACATTCAGCATCATCTACCGAGTGCCGATTGGTCTATAAAATATAGGTCTAGCCTTATATACCCTGTACACCCAAAGGTGTGGAAGTTCCTGAAAAGGGTCCTTTTGCACTTCTTGGAATATTCTTGCACTTCATGGAATGTTCCTGCACTTCATGGAATGTTCTTGCACTTCATGGAATGTTCCTGCACTTCATGGAATGTTCCTGCACTTCATGGAATGTTCCTGCACTTCATGAAATGTTCTTGCACTTCATGGAATGTTCTTGCACTTCATGGAATGTTCTTGCACTTCATGGAATGTTCTTGCACTTCATGGAATGTTCTTGCACTTCATGGAATGTTCCTGCACTTCATGGAATGTTCTTGCACTTCATGGAATGTTCTTGCACTCCATGGAATGTTCTTGCACTTCATGGAATGTTCTTGCACTTCATGGAATATTCTTGCACTTCATGGAATGGTCTAGCACTTCATGGAATGTTCCTGCACTTCATGGAATGTTCCTGCACTTCATGGAATGTTCTTGCACTTCATAGAATGTTCTTGCACTCCATGGAATGTTCTCTGAGTGACTTATTTATCTCTCTCAGATGCTGGAAGATCTGTCACCATACCATCACGCAGGACAAAACATCAACCACTCCTGGGCACAAAGTGAGGATGTTTCCAGCCTGGACAGCCAGAGAGCTTCAGAACATGGCCTGACCAACAACACCAGCCAGAGAGCTTCAGAACATGGCCTGACCAACAACACCAGCCAGAGAGCTTCAGAACATGGCCTGACCAACAACACCAGCCAGAGAGCTTCAGAACATGGCCTGACCAACAACACCAGCCAGAGAGCTTCAGAACATGGCCTGACCAACAATACCAGCCAGATCACTCTTCAGGGGGTGCCTGTAGCCTTGAGGAACCCTCCGCCCATGTCACGGTACCACCACAACAGCCATGAACACAGTAAGAGGGGAAACGTCAACAGTCTATATGGTTCTCATTTCTTGTGTTGCAGTTCTTTCCCTTCTTCTTGATCTAGTTCTTCTTGATCTAGTTCTTCTTCTTCTTATTTTTCTTATTCTTGTTATTCTTCTTATTCTTCTTGTTCTTTTTTTTTTCTTTTTCTTCTTCTTCTTTTTCTTCATCTAAATTGTTTTTGGTCTTCTCATCCGCCTCCTCCTTCTTCAACTTCTTCTTCATTTCCTCTTTTACAGCCTTGGGTATTGAAGGAGATACAAGACAGATTCTTGCCCTTGTGGCTATTTCTACTACAGATACTTAAAACTGGTGTTGATTTTCTCTGGTTTCATCATTTTCCCCCTTCTACCTTAGACTCTACACCCTTCTCCTCTTCTGGTGTTTGTCTCGTATGGTATGGCGGCAAAGGGTATTCTCTGTCAGCAGGCAAGCCATTTGATTTACTAACTTTGCATTTAATTTAATATTAGTTCTATACTGGATTGGAAAAAATTATAGCAGAAGGCATGGTACCAGGAAGGAGGGGCAGGGGCCGACCGACACGAAGATGGGCACAGGATATAAGTGACTCCTTGAGTATGAAAGTACATGAGGCGGGAGAACTGGCGAGAGACTGAGTTTCTTTCAGGCAAACTGTGATGAGAGTGACATTCTGCAAAGGACCTGCTACACGATGATGATGATGATGATCTATACTGACTTTTCTCTTATGGTCATATTCCCCTGTATTTTATCGCTTGCCACTCCTACAGTAGAAGGACACATGGCAAAGGGAGCTAGAGAGCGAAGATAAGAAGATGGGGAGGACGTAGGGAGAGCTGCGTGCAATAGAACAACTTGGCATTTGTCGGTTGTGCTGCATTGAGAGAGATAAAGCCCAGAGAAAGCCGAAGACATCCATAGTCTTTCTCCCCCATGGCCTATTTTTAATGGATGGGGGGGGGGGGGGGGGGGGGGGGGGGGGGGGGGGGGTATAGACCCACTGCCCCCTAATAAAAAGTTAGTTGCATATCCTTTACAGGAAGTTGCAGAACCAGCCCTGGCAGTTTTTGGCTGTTGTGGTTTTTTTAGGCAAGTTTTGTGTTCGTTAGTTTACCATTGCTTTCTGCACTATCAGCACCTGGTCTCTAAAATGTTGGTCAATCACTATAGAGACGACTTTAGAATGGTCAGCTCTCAGTACCACTGTTGAAACCAGTGCAAGACAAATTGTCCGCAGCTGGGATCGAACCTGGAACCCCAGCATTACTAAGTGCATTCAAGGCACCTAAGCCACAGACCTCCCAACAAGCGTGCACTTAAAGGCAACTTATTACAGGTGTGCTGAAATCAGATATGCTGGAACGAAAGGTGCACTTGCAGCATATTTTGCTGCAGTTCAGAACTGGGCTGTGATTTCTGCACCTTTTGGGCTAAAATATCTTATTTCTGCAAATCTTTTTAACCTGCTTGGATCTATTAATTTTGTTCCCCTAAACGAGGCCCGGAAGTTAAATGTTATGCATTTAGTCAGTTCATTTCTTGATACCAGTTTGCGTACTATGCTAGGTGTAATGAAGAAAAATAAACGTGGGTACGATGATATCAAGAGGAAAGTTGGCACAGGACCAATACTCAACTTTAAAGGTAGACAACAAATCAAATGGTTTGGCCATGTAACAAGATTGGCATCAGACAGGGAACCACAGAGTATGCTGCCAGGCATTCCAGGAGTAGAGAAAAAAGAAGATTATAGTACATTTTCCCCTCCTCTGCAAATAAAATCCTTACCTGCACAGTCGTGGTGACAGCACTAGCCATGCAGCCTTAAATTCTCAGGCTCAAAGACCTTCCAGCCTACACCGCCTGAAGTGGTATTAAAGGGGGGGGGGGGGGGGGGGGGCAGTATTCCCTCCCCCCACCCCCATTATTAAGTTTAAAATTGGGGGCTATTTTGTACACAAAATATTGCAGTATATAAATAAATACATGTCATATCCATGTTCTTCCCTCCCACCCCTCACTGTTGTCTTCATGACAGACCCTGGTCTGGTACCCTCCCCCCAGCAGCCCCCCACCCCTAACATTGTCCCTTCCACCCGTTTTTCCAGATCCCCCCCCCCCCCCCCCCCCCCAGTATCAGAGTTATTCTGTTTGCTTTTCTGTTTGCTATTAAATTTTTTTATTTTTATTTAGGGCTAAAAATTAGGTATCTTATGCATTTGGGCATCTTATACAGTGACAGATACGGTAATTATTGTTCGACAGAATTGGCAGACGAGCTTCCGGTGAAGCGTTCACTGGAGAAAGAGTTACAATCACCAGTGAAACCTGCAGACACATCACTCAGTCAGACAACGAGTGTATCCATAGATCGAGACAAACAGCTTAGGGGTGGAGTGTATAGCAGCCCTTTCCCCCTGGCACACGTGAAACATAAGGTAAGTAAATGACCCCGTGTGGGTTCCTGGGGCCATTGTGGGGCTGGGAGAGGAAGAATAGACTGACTGCCTTTCCAAAGAGTGTGTTGTAAGAGTTGATTGATTGGGGGCTTCCTTCGAAGTTGGAGTACATCTGACTGAAAGGCATGGAACTAGCAGTCTGCATACAATAGGCCAGATCTGTAAAACAGATGTGCATGTCATCATATCGGCGACCGGGTCACCAATTGGCTGGCCGTGGATGACTTTTTTGCTGGTCAGGACAGTATTTGGGGCTGTCCCCTTTGATCAAATCAGCAGTGCAAGAGTCTTTTTCAGGTCTACTTGGTATGCTAAGCACACATAACCTAGTCGCAATTATAACCTTAAGCTCTCCCTTTGGGAATACTGATTAAACGTGACGATGTTAAAACTTTTTTCGCAAAGCAAGGAAGGATAGGCATGCAACATTTAGGTTCTGGAATAAGACTAAATTCCAGAGGTGGATGAACAACCAGGACTCTCCACCGGAGGTACAGCTGGGGAATGCAAAAAAGAAGGTGAATGTTGCTTTAACAGCAGAGCTGTTCAACTGATGGCCTGCAGACCAAATTTGGCCCACAAAGACCTTGTAGTTTGCCTGAGGATCATTATGTATTGTATTGTATTGTATTGTATTATATTGTATTGTATTGTATTAATGACCTTTCTATTCTGGGGCCACTGGCATGTGCTGATACCCCTTTTTGGCATTTCGGCCCCTGTGTAAACTTAGTTGAATAGCTGTGCTTTACGGCATGAAAATAGCTAATGCCAGCAAGCGTGCACTGTATCGCTAATTATTCCTCCCTACGATCTTAACAGCAGATGTGGTCTATGATGATGAGGGGATAGGCAGTGGGTTTATTGATTTCTCCCCTTCAGTGAGGTCCCATAACCCACTGGGAGATCTAAGGTCTCCATTTACATGGTTGGTTTCTCGGTTGCCTCCTTCTTCTGAAAAACATTACTTGTTGTGGTATGATGGCTTTTGGCAGTCTAGTTAAATGACCAAACCATTCCACTTGTAGATATCTAATGAAATCTCCTACTGCTTGCTGTCACATTTTTTTTTTCTTTTTTAATTGATGTGTAGACCAAGTGGAAATTGAAAGAGAGGCTAACTATTCAATTAACGAATAAAATCTCTGGGAACTCTCATATACAAAGCACAAATGCAGCCTCTGGCTGTTTATTCTTTATCTTAACACTGCAACGAACAAGAGGAACCTTCCGCACCCATCCTTAAAAAGGCTTCTTCTTCTTTTTGTCACCTCATTGACATCAGGTTGTAGCCCAGTGTCCTGGTTTTCTTTATTTGTCTTGCACTTCTCGGGTGTCTTGGATGATGGATTTGTTCGTCTTTTTGCAGGTTTTGGCAACACCATATATCCATCTCTTTCTTGGTCTTCCTCTCGCCTTCCTCCCAGATTTTCTGCTGTAAAAGGTCTCATATGCAGTTTGATCTGGCTGTATTCTCACTAGATGGCTGAACCATTTCATTCTTTTTTCAATATAATCCAGCCATGGTCTTATTCCAACTTTCTCTCTAATGCTGGTATTCATAACCCTGTCTTGTCTAGTGTTGTTAGTGATCTTGCGTAGACAGCACATTTCACATGTAGTTATTTTCTGTTCTAGTACCCTATTCATTGTCCATGATTGGCACCGATAACATAAATTAGGGGTAAAGATAAGATGCTATTAATCATTTGCCGGTTTTGCTTGAAGGGAGACATTTGGGTGTCTAAGCAGCTGGGCTAACTGGTAGGTGACAGCATTTATGTTCGTGTAAGCTAAGGACCCCTTTCCATGCATTAGGCATATAGGGCATATAGGGTTAGACCTATATTTTTATCGGCACAAGATGGGTGATGTGGTCAGCATCACACCGGCCTCCTTTACTTCCCAGGACTGCACCCGGTACCCACCCAAGACTGGATCGACCTGGGAGCCAAGGTCATTTTTGTTCTGTACTCTGGCTTAAAAAGGCTGTTCAAAGATAAAGTATAATTAACGAAGATCGGCTTCATTGCACCAGGTTTCATCCCATATGATATCTCTCTGCAGAATGACTAACTATTGGCCGAGAACATCACACAAAGCATGAAAACCTTAGCTCTGGTGAAGATCCCCTGGGGATCTTCATGAAAATTGCACTCCTGAACCAAACAGTGCAGCTGTGAAACAAACCAATGACTTTTAAAGCATGAGGCGAACGTTTTGACCTCTTCATGATGGAGAAGAGGGCAGTTTGCACGTTGTAGTTTACAGCAAGGATGAAATATCTGTGCCTTTGGGTCGAGTACATCCTATTTTAGCAGGTAGTCGCCTCTAACAACATTCTTATTATGGAACAGTGGGTCTATTCCCCCCCCCACCTTCCCCCCACCACCCTTTTTTTCCCTCCGAAAGGAAGCCACATGGGAAAAAGAGGATCAGGTTGAAATAACATGAATGGTTTGGACTATTTGTTATTAGTGAGCTAATGTTTCGCTTTAATTGTTTACTATTATTCTGTTTTGATTTTTGTTTCCTGTTTAGAAGAAATCCCCTCGAGCAAGTAAATCTTACGAAAGCACTCATCGTGGAAGTCCTCGTGGAGAGGTGTCCCACAACAGTAACTCTATCCACTGGGAACATGATGTTCGACCCCAGGACATCCCATCCGCGGGTACCCCTGATGTGTCATTTGCAGACTCAGATGATGTCCTCTCACCAAGGTTGGCATCATGTTGTGTTTGTCTCATTGTTCTGCCTCTCACTGTTCTGTCTCTCATTGTTCTGTCTCATATTGTTCTGTCTCTTATTGTTCTGTCTCTTATTGTTGTGTCTGTCATTGATCTGTCTGTCATTGTTCTGTCTGTCATTAATCTGTCATTGTTCTCTCACATTGTCCTGCCTCTCACTGTTCTGACTCTCACTGTTCTGTCTCTCATTGTTCTGTTTCTCATTGTTCTGTCTCTCATTGTTCTGTCTCTCATTGTTCTGTCTGTCATTGTTCTCTCATATTGTTCTGTCTCTCATTGTCCTGTCACTCATTGTTCTGTTTCTCATTGTTCTGTCTCTCATTGTTCTGTCTCTCATTAATCTGTCTGTCTTTATTCTCTCACATTGTTCCTCGTCTCACTGTTCTGACTCTCATTGTTCTGTCTCTTATTGTTTTGTCTCTTATTTTTCTGTCTCTCATTGTTCTGTATCTCATTGTTCTGTCACTCATTGTTCTGTTTCTCAATGTTCTGTCTCTTATTGTTCTGTCGTTCATTGTTTTGTCTCTCATTTTTCAAGTACACATTCTTAAAAAGGTTTAAAGTCAAGGCTATTGACTTCATTGCAGCAGGTTTAATTCCAAATGACTTAGTCTCTCTGTAAAAGATATGTTGGAAATAGCATATATTTTCCATAGATTTATTTTGTACTTTGAATGAGCATTTCCCCCGGGTTCCGGGGCTCCATTGTCGGGAAAACAAGAATAGACCCACTGCCTCCCCAAAAGCATGTCGTAAGAGTCGACTAATTGGGGAGCTTCCTTTGAAGTCAGAGTGCATCTGCTGGAGAGGCAAGGAACCAACAGTCTGTATCAAAAGAATGAGATCTGTAAAACTGATGCACATGCAACACTCAGGTTCTGGAATAGGACTGCAGTTCAGTAGTGGATGAGCAACCAGAACTTTCTGCCAGAGTATACAGCTGGTGAACGCGAAGAAGAAGAAGAATGAGCATTTCTTGTTATTTTGCTGTGTTTGTTTTGTAGTCTTGCCCAAATGTAACCATACTGATCTCTCTTGTGTCTACTCCAGAACAAGAACTAGTCTCCGGGAGAAACATGCAAAACATCTTGCCGATGTCCGGGCCTTCTATGAGAAGGAGCTGCAGGATTTGAGGCGGGAGTTGCAGATGAAAGCAGGTGGTGATCATCGGACCCACAATGCAGCAGTGGAACAGAGGATATTAGCCAATGAAAATCAGGAACTGAGAAAGAAATATCAGCATCTGCAGGACGCATACCATGATGCTAAAATGTGCGTTGTTCATATTTGTGTCATCTCTCCTTCATTGTCATCTTACCTTTTGTAATGTGCATCATTTTTTCTTGATCATCATCATCATCAGTTTCTACTTCTGCCATTATATATATATATATTATCATCATCATGTGCCCTGCCAACTGGCGTAGGCGCTCATGCGTCTCCACAGATCACAATCCCTGGTTGCCTGGAACAGGTCTCTTGATGATATCCCTCCATGCCATCATTTCAGCCCATCCAGCATCATCTCTCTTGCTCTGCCTCTACTCTTTTTTCCACTGATCTTTCCAGTTGTCACGATCTTCTCAAGTGTCTCTCTTCTCATTATGTGGCCAAAGAACAGTGTTTGTCTCTTTCTTATTGTTGTATATAGAGATCTACTTTCATTAGCTTCTTACAAGTAATCGTTGTTAGTTACCCTGGCCGTCCAAGGTATTCATAACATTCGTCTCAGAAACCACATCTCTCTTCCAAATTCTTTCTGATTTGTTCATTGACATTCCAAGATTCGCTGCCATACAGCAGAACAGGTTCCATGTAACATTTTAGCACCCTCCTTTATCTATCTATATATATATATATATATATATATATATATATATATATATATATATATATATATATATATATATATATATATATATATATATATATATATATATATATATATATATATATATAAAAAAAACAAACAGTCGGCACTCAAAGAAAGAAGTAGAAAGATAGAAGGACACACTAGATAACATAAAAATCAAAAGCTATAGTTATTTGCTGGGAATTGAAACTATCACCTCCATATTGAGTGTGCGCCTTTTAATGGAAACAAGTGTACTAAGAATGTGACCACCTAGGCGCTCCCCCTCCCCCTCCCCCCTCCCCCGCCAAAGGTATCTTCATTGACCATGTCAAGGATTCCCGCTCTGTTTATTTCTGCCATTAAGCATTATGAGGAGGAATAGTTTGCGATGATTAATGGGCAGCATTGGCAATTGTCATTCCATATCAGTGTAGAAGCTCTTTAATGTAATCAGAAGGGACTGCATGGTCTCAAGGCATGGTGTCCGCCTCAAGTGCTAGAGGTTCTGGGTTCAATCCCTGGTAAGGGCTGGGATTTTTTCATGTAGACTTGGACTTCTAGTAATTTCCCCCTGGTCTCTGGGTAGTGAGATCGAAAGCCTGTGTGCATTGTTGCACCCAAAAAATTCCTTGGCAGTTGGAAATCGAAAAGGGTATCCTAACGGTGCTGCCTGGGCAAAATTTGGAGTTAAAAATCTACCCAGAATAGTTCGGACTCAGGCTTGAAGTAGAACGAAGCACTTATTGGATACTACCCTTTTGCCATTATGTTGATCCGTTGTTCAAACCTTTCAGACCATGTGGGCATCATACTGTTCTTCTTCTTCTTCACATTCACCAGCTGTGACGGAAAGTTCTGGATGTTTGTCCATGTCTGGACTTTGGTCTTGTTCCAGAACTTGAGTTTTTCATGCACAGCCAATTTACAGATCGGGCTTATTTGTATGCAGACTGCTGGTCCCTTGCCTCTCAGACTTCGAAGGAAGCTTCCCTAAACAATTGTCTTTCACAGCATGCTTAATGGGAGGGCAGTGGGTCTATTCTTTGTCCTGTCAATCTGGGGCCCGGGAACCCACACAGGAAATTATGTTCAGATAGGTAAACCCCTTCCTCATTTTAATCCATGCTGTTAGGAATCATATCTGTTCACATCCTTCTGGCACATGAGCTCTGTCAGTCAGTTATCACACACATGCTGTGATCCCTTGTCCCAAAGAAAACATCAAGACCTCACTGAAAGACCTCTGTTTTGATCCTAAAAGCTGGGAAGTCACTGCATGTGACCGCTCTTCCTGGCGCTCCTCTCTTCATCGAGGAGCTGTGGCCCATGAAGCTGCTAGAACTGCAGCAGCAATTCAGAAAAGATGAGTGATGGAAGACACTGAAGCAAATCACCAGAGAGATGTGGCCTCATTTCCCTGTCCACACGGCTCAAGAACTTTCAGTGCTAGATTTGGCCTTATCAGCCATCTGCTGATACTCACAAAACCTAATCCAGTCTTCAATTGATGAAAGGACTGGTCAGCTTCACCTGTGATGGACGAACAACAACATGCTGTGATGCTGCCAACATCTTGTGTGGTCTTCCTTTGCTTCCAGCTTTTCTCTGTCACAGCATGCTCTGGTGTGTTTTTTTGGCCTACAAAATTTATATTGTCTTCTTCTGATGCGGGGAATCAAATATTTTTTCACTGGCAAGCTGTTAAAACATTGGCAGCATTGAACATCCTCTGACAACAGTAAAGTAAAAGTAAGGACCCTTTCTTAACCGAAAGGCATATTGGGCATATAGTGCTCAACCAGTTTGACACTGCGTGCATCCTTCCGGCCACCTTTACTTCCAATGACTTTATTTGGAACGCATTTAAGGCTGGGTTGACCCTGGAGCTAAGTTCATGTTTTTTTTTGGGTGGTGGGGGGGGGGGGGTCTGGCTGCTTGTGGATTTGAACCCATGAGATTTGAGGTGAGCATCTAGCCGCTACACCACAGCGGCTCCTTTCTAACAACAGTGAAAGGACAGTAGTGTGTACATGCAACAAAATCTACCGGCCTCTCCAAATTGATACTAAAGGGCTCCACAGAGGGAAGAGGCAGAACAAGAAAGAGACAAGACTGTTGTCACCGTGGTCTGTGCAGGCAAGGAAGTTACTTTGGCCTCAACCAGAAAAGTCCATTGCCTTACCAAGTATTTGAACCTGGGTCTTCCGGATGGAAACTCAATGTTCTTTACCCTTCAGCCAGCCACTCCTCAGCGAGCTGTGTAGAGTATCTGCTAGTGTATCTGGCACAAATGCTATAGTGATTTATCACCTGTGTGAACTGAAGAAAGACAGTGAAATTTACCTATCCTTTTTTTTTTTTTGTCTTCAAATATGGAACAGTGAAATCAGAGAGCTGCAGCAGAAAATCCACGGATTGGAAATCAGAGCAGTAAGTGAATTCTTATTAATTTGATGATGTTTTTACACAAAGACATGCACGCCTGCATGCACACACATATGCACACACACACACATGCACACACACATGCACACACACATATGCACACACACATATGCACACACACATATGCACACACACATATGCACACACACATATGCACACACACATATGCACACACACATATGCACACACACATATGCACACACATATGCACACACACATATGCACACACACATATGCACACACACATATGCACACACAAGCACACACACACACACACAGTTGGTTAGTTGGGTTATTATTGCACTCCAGACATGTCCATAGGTGCTCAGATCCTCCCCTCAGTATGAACCCCATCGTCTGGTGACTAATAGTACCTGTTCTATGTTGATTAACAAGTCCTCTGATGTGCCTGGGGTGCGTCTCGTTTTTTGCTATGCCGATCTTAACTCTATCATTCTGGCGAGTGATGTGAATTCACTGCCCCCAAAGTCCTAAACCTTTCACATTTTTTGGAGGGCACTGAAATATCAGCGCAATCCATAGGAGGAACGTTGGTAGTGATAAAGGATCCAACCAACCTGTCAACTCTTTCATTTCTATCGATGCTCGCGTATCCCAAATACGTACTTACTTAGTTCTATCCTACAGATAGAGGTTTGCCAGAGAGATCGCTAGACTTCTCTGTAGGCAGTTTTCTTGTTGGCCTTGTTCCATTCCAACCCTCTGTGAGTTAGAGGTTGTTGGTTGCGGTCTTCCCAGCGAACCCTGGGTCATCCTGGTGGTCTGGTTCCCTGGTTCTTGGCCTCCTATGCCTACCTTGGTGGCCCATTCACTTCCATTCTGCAGCTGTGGCTGATTCACTTGAGTTTGTAAGGCCTGGGTTTCAAGATCATGTCGTATAACCTGACTGTGAACTTTGTTCCTTCTTGTCGGTTGGACCGTCTTTCTCAGATATCTCATTTCTGATTACCAAAGCTGGCTTCTGTGAGCTGTTGATATTGTCCATGATTTACACTTGTAGGTCAGGACTGAAACATAGGTAGAGCAATATACAACTATTTTCGTCCTTTTCCAATTTCTGGCCTGCAAAAGTCTCTTAGCTGCTACTATTTGAGCAGCCAACTCTGACTAAATGCCCCCATTCCAGTTTATTACAACTCCACAGCATTTGAACTGGTTGACCTGCTGCAGTGAATATTGTTCCATCATGATCTAGTGTTTCTGTTTCTCTCAGAGCGAGAGAGAAAGAGAGAGACACACAAACATGCACGCATACAAACACAGACTCATTTGAATATATTTGAACAAATGATTGTCTGATGCAGAGGTGAAATGTTGATTTAATGCAGAGGTAAAAGGTTTATTTGATGCAGAGATGAAAGTTTTGTTTAGTGCAGAGATGGAAGATTTATTTGATGCAGAGATGAAAGGTTTATTTGACGCAGAGGTGGAAGGTTTATTTGATGCAGAGGTGAAATGTTTATTTGACGCAGAGGTGAAATGTTTATTTGGTGCAAGTAGTGAAAATTTATTTGATGCAGAAGTGAAAAAATTTATAGGATACAGAGGTGAATGGTTGATTTCATGCACATGTGACTTGTTGAGTTGGAAGGTTGTTATGATGCAGAAGTGAAAAGTTATTCTGATGTAGAGGTGAAGGATTGATTTGATGCAGCGGAGGTGACCTTTTGATTTAATGTGGGCATGGAGTGTTGATCTGCTACAGATGGGGAAAGAATGATTTGGTGAAGAGGTGAAGAGTTAATAAAATGTACAGGTGAAAGGTTAATCTGACGCAGAGTCTAACCGTTTCTTATTACAGTTAACATGGTAGATCATAACTAATGATAAATAGTAATTAGTGATAAGAAAGGATTATCATCACAGCACTCCGGACTGAACCATAGATGCTCCAATCTCCTCCTCAAAAGCTCAGCAAGTGTAAAACGACTGATGACGCCTGTTCTGTGTTGCTTAATGAAATGTCTTGTTGCCTTAGTGAAATGTTCATTTTTTGCAGCTCCAGGCTTCACCCCCATGTGCATCAGTCTAGACAGGGATATGGAATCATGTTCTTTGGCGTGCTCCTCGGTACGGTAAGTGCAGCGCATGGCATTGATAGCATCACTTCTGTCCAGTACTGGGGCAGCCATAGCAACCGCTGTGCAGCAAGATAGTCTGAAAGTATTTTTAAATAAATATGTCAGGACATGCCATACTGCAGCGTACAATACTTACTGTCAGTAATATGTTGTATTCCCGTGACTGTTGCCAGGCCGACTACGCAGAACGTTACGATGCAGCACAGTCTCAGGTGCTGACTCTCAAGTCCAGGCTAGAGGAGCTAGCAGATTATGTCAGGGACAAGGAATCTCTCATTGCTGATTTGGAATCAAAGAACAGGAAAAACACTGACTCCTTACAGTTAGCATACAAGGTGGGCTTTTATATTGTACAAGGTGGGCTGTAATCATGTAACAGTGGTTGTAGTTATGTGTAAATTGGGCTCTAAATGTGTACAAGGTGGGCTGTAATGGTGTGTAAGATGGGCTGTGAGTGTTTACAAGGTGGACTGTAATAGTGTACAGGGTGGCCGTAATAGTGTGCACAGTGGGCTGTAGTAGTGTACAAGGTTGGCTGTAAAAGAGTTCAAAGTGGGCTGTAGTTATGTGGGCTGTAATAGTATACAAGGTGGGCTGTAATTATATAATGGTGGGCTGTATTAGTATAAAGTGTGGGCTGTAATTGTAAAATGGTTGGCTGTAATAATGTACAAGGTGGGCTGTAAAAGTACACAAAGTGGGCTGTAATAGTGTACTAGGTGGGCTGTAATTGTATAACAGTGGGCTGTAATAGTGTACTAGGTGGGCTGCGATAGTGTACTAAGTGGGCTGTAATAGTGTACTAAGTGGGCTGTAATAGTGTACTAGGTGGGCTGTAATTGTATAACAGTGGGCTGTAATAGTGTACTAGGTAGGCTGTAATAGTGTACTAGGTGGGCTATAATTGTATAATTGTTGGCTTTAATAGTATACTAGGTGGGCTGTAATTGTATAACAGTGGGCTGTATTATTGTACTAGGTGGGCTGTAATTGTATAACAGTGGGCTGTAATTGTGTACTAGGTGGGATGTAATTGTATAACAGTGAGCTGTAATAGTATACTAGGTGGGCTGTAATTGTATAACAGTGGGCTGTAATATTGTACTAGGTGGGCTGTAATTGTATAACAGTGGGCTGTAATTGTGTACTAGGTGGGATGTAATTGTATTTCAGTGAGCTGTAATTTTGTACTAGGTGGGCTGTAATTGTATAACAGTGAGCTGTAATATTGTACTAGGTGGGCTGTAATTGTTTAACAGTTGGTTGTAATAGTGTACTAGGTGGGCTGTAATTGTATAACAGTGGGCTGTAATAGTGTAAAGTGTGGGCTGTAATTGTATAACAGTGGGCTGTAATAGTGTAAAGTGTGGGCTGTAATTGTATAATGGTGGGCTGTAATAGTGTAAAGTATTGGCTGTAATTGTATAATGGTTGGCTGTTATAGTGTAAAGTGTGGGCTGTAATTGTATAACAGTGGGCTGTAATAGTGTAAAGTGTGGGCTGTAATTGTATAACAGTGGGCTGTAATAGTGTAAAGTATGGGCTGTAATTGTATAATGGTGGGCTGTAACAGTGTAAATTGTGGGCTGTAATTGTATAATGGTGGGCTGTAATAGTATAACAGTTGGCTGTAATAGTGTAAAGTGTGGGCTGTAATAGTGTAAAGTGTGGGCTGTAATAGTGTAAAGTGTGGGCTGTAATAGTGTAAAGTGTGGGCTGTAATAGTGTAAAGTGTGGGCTGTAATAGTGTAAAGTGTGGGCTGTAATTGTAAAATGGTGGGCTGTAATAGTGTAAAGTGTGGGCTGTAATAGTGTACTAGGTGGGCTGTAATAGTGTACAAGGTTGGCTGTAATTGTATAATGGTGGGCTGTAATAGTGTACAAGGTTGGCTGTAATTGTATAATGGTGGGCTGTAATAGTGTACAAGGTGGGCTGTAATTGTATAATGGTGGGCTGTAATAGTGTACAAGGTGGGCTGTAATTGTATAACAGTTGGCTTTAATAGTGTAAATGGTGGGCTGTAATAGTGTAAAGTGTGGGCTGTAATTGTATAATGGTGGGCTGTAATAGTGTACTAGGTGTGCTGTAATAGTGTACTAGATGGGTTGTAATTGTATAACAGTGGGCTGTAATAGTGTACAAGGTTGGCTGTAATAGTTTGCAAGATGGGATCTGAGTGTTTGCAAGGTGGGCTGTAATAATGTGAAGGTGGGATGTAAATGTGAACAAGTTGGGCTCTAAATGTGTACACAATGGACTTTAATAGTTTTCAAGGCAGGCTGTAATATGGACAGTGCATTTACCTCTTCGAATGAACTCAGAAGAATAAAAATATCCGCACTAAGCCAGATTTAAAAAAAAAATGGCCTTGACTCTCAGGTTGACACAGCTTAAAATGGGTAACAGGTCAAGTCCTGGGAAGTAAAGTCGGCTGTCCTTAAGTTGACCACATCACCCACTGAATGCTGATCAGTTTATAAAGTATAGGTCAAGCCCTATATACCCAGTATGTCAGATAGTGTGAAAAAAGGTCTGTCTTATTAGTGTGTTGTTTATGGAAAATGTCTGTCTTATTAGTGTGTTGTTTATGGAAAATGTCTGTCTTATTAGTGTGTTGTTTATGGAAAAGGTATGTCTTATTAGTGTGTTGTTTATGAAAAAAAGGTCGGTCTTATTAGTGCGTTGTTTATGGAAAAAGGTCTGTCTTATTAGTGCGTTGTTTATAAAAAAGGGTCTGTCTTATTAGTGCGTTGTTTATAAAAAAGGGTCTGTATTATTAGTGTGTTGTTTATAAAAAAGGGTCTGTCTTATTAGTGCGTTGTTTATAAAAAAAATGGTCTGTCTTATTACTGCGTTGTTTTTAAAAAAGGGTCTGTCTTATTAGTGCGTTGTTTATAAAAAAGGGTCTGTCTTAATAGTGCGTTGTTTATAAAAAAGGGTCTGTCTTATTAGTGCGTTGTATATGGAAAAGGTCTGTCTTATTAGTGCGTTGTTTATAAAAAAGGGTCTGTCTTATTAGTGCGTTGTTTATAAAAAAGGGTCTGTCTTATTAGTGTGTTGTTTGTGGAAAAGGTCTGTCTTATTAGTGCGTTGTTTATGGAAAATGTCTGTCTTATTAGTGTGTTGTTATGAAAAAGGTTTTGTCTTATTAGTGCGTTGTTTATGGAAAAGGTTCTGTCTTATTTGTGTGTTGTTTATGAAAAAGGGTCTGTCTTATTAGTGTGTTGTTATGAAAAAGGTCTGTCTTATTAGTGTGTTGTTATGAAAAAGGTCTGTCTTATTAGTGTGTTGTTTATGAAAAAAGGTATGTCTTATTAGTGTGTTGTTTATAAGTTTGAGTTGGTTATTGGTGTTTTTTTTTTTAAATGCACTAATGAGAGTTTTGAATTAAGTGCTTTTTTTAAATTGTCTGATGTTTATTATTGCATTGTTGATTAATGTGTGTTGTTTTTTGTTCTGTGTAGTTTATTTGTGTGTATTATTTATTAGTATATGTTTATTGAAGTTGATTTTAATGTGCTATTTATTAGAGCATTTTTATTAGGGCATAGTTTTTTTTTTTTCATTTGTGCATTTTTATTATTCTGTTTATTGGTCAATTTTTCATTAGTGTTTTATTTATGATGTTTTTTTTTTCTACAGAAAGAGAAGGAACTTGCAGATTCCTTACACAATGCTAGAAATACAATTCAGAAGGTAGGTATATTTTGTATCTCTGTGTTACTTCCTGCATCATTAAAAGTCTTACTGAGACAGGGTTTTAAAATTACCCTACTCTTCTAGGGTAAGCTTTTCTTCAGGCCATGCTTGCATAGTGGGTAATGAACAGGCAGACAGATTGGCTGGATCTGCACCACTGGGTGGTGAATTAATACATGACAAGGCAGATGTGGTTAAGGCCCTTTTGGAACAAGAAACCGAATCAGTAGAGAAACAAAATTATTATGGCCTGGAGAGAATGAGGCACCTGGGTGTAACCAAAGGGTCTGGCTGCTGAAGATGAGGATGAAGCACACATCGGAATGGAGTCTGTGTGGTGTTGTCAGTTCCTGACTCTACTCATCTCCAGGATAAGCTTTTGTGGTGTAGGGCTAGATGCTTGCCTGCTGTTGATTTCTTGGCCCAGCGATAGTTTGTTGTTCACCGTAGGTCACAGATATGTAAAATGGTCAACTGTCTCCAGCTCTTCACCATCAGTGTAAACTGCAGGTCTGTCATTAACACCATAATCTTTTTTCTTCTTTTTACTGATTGTTAGTCCAAATTTACAGCATGCATGAGTAATTGTGATGGTAAACTTTGCAGCTGCTTCTCTGAGAGTGTGGTAATCGCTGCATCATCTGCAGACAGAAGCTCTGTGATAATTACCTTCCTTATCTGCAGGTTGTGGGTTCACATCCACATGAAGCCAGAATTTTTTTTTTTCAACATGACCTTGGCTCCAAGGTCGACCCAACCTTAAATGGGTACCAAGTAAAGTCCTGGAAAATAAAGGCAGCCAACATGATGTTGACTACATCACCGACAAAGTGCTGTGCAGTTGTATATCACATAGGGCTTATATTGGATTCCTCCTTCCATTCTATCCTTTGTAATCCTTTAAATCATCATCATGTAGCAAGTCCATCGCAGAACGTCATTCTCATCACGGTCTACCTGAAAGAAACTCGGTCTCTCACCAGTTCTCCCGCCTCATGCACATTTATACTCAAGGAGTCACTTATATCCTGTGCCCATCTTTGTGTTGGTCCGCCACTGCCCCTCCTTTCTGGTACCATGCCTTCTGCTATTATTTTTTATAATCCATTGTGACGCTTGATATGACCAAAATCCTTTTAATATTTTGTATGAAATCCAGTTCAGCGCCTTTCTCAGCATCATTGGGTTTCTCTTCGTAGCCTGAAAAATGACTACCAAGAACTGTCCTGGCAAGGATATGTGCCTGGCAAGAAATTTACCATGTACACAAATGCCACGACGGATTGGAAAAAATAAAAACTAGAATTTTTGGCTCAAAAACAAGTGTGTGTTCTCAGCCTTCCATCCTATTCTCCAGATTTGTCTCCCTGTGATTATTTTCTATTCCCAAAATTTAAGTTACAATTGAAAGGATGCTTTAACGATATTGATGACATCCAAAGAGCTGTAACATTGACTTTAAGGGCCATAACAACAGAAGAACAACAGAGGTTGTTCCAGTGTTTGTTAGATCGAGCCACTTGCTGTATCAATGCACAGGGGGCTTACTTTGAATCAAATACAGGTTATATCTTCTCTTCTTCTTCTTCTTCACTTCCTCTTTTACCGCTGTGGGTGTCGAGGGAGATATAAGGTTCTGTTTCTAGCTCTTCTGGCTGCCTCGACCATAGGCACATCGTGCTGTTGTAGAGTTTCTCTGATGTTATCCTTCCATCTTGTTCTTGGTCTACCCCGTGCTCTACGTCCTTCTTCTCTTCCCATGTATGCTTTGTATGGTATGGTGTCACAAGGCATTCTCTCTAAGTGGGCAAACCATTTCACTTGCTGTCTTTGTATGTAATCCAGAATTGGTTCTGTGCCGACTTGTTCTCTTATGATCTCATTTCTGATCTTAACTCTTATGGTCACTCCTACAGCCCTTCTCAGACATCTCATTTCCGTGGTTACTAATTTTCTTTTATGGTTTGTTGTGAGTGACCATGTCTGGCACTGGTAGCACAGAGTTGGAATAAATATGCTTTGAATAAGATGTCTCTTTGTGCTGATTGGGATTGTCTTATGCTGTAAGAGGGGGGCTAGCTGTCCCAATACTTGGTTTGCTTTACTGCATCTAATCTCAATTTCTTTATCCAATTTCCCATCTTCGGTAAATGTAGTTCCCAGATATTTAAACTCAGATGCCTGTTTAATGCCTTTGTATTCTATTGTTATGTTTAGATCTGTCTTCTTTTTTCCTATTGACATTACTTCTGTCTTTTCAGTGTTGATTCTCGTATTATTTGTTTTACATTCTTCATTCATGGATGTTAGATGTTGTTGCAATTTCATGGCTGTATCTGCTATCAAGGCCTGGTCATCTGCAAAGAGTAATTTGTTGATCTTACTAACATTTTCATTCATGGGCTTGGCATTCTTGCATATACTGTCGATGTAGGTGATAAACAGCAGTGGTGATAAGACACACCCCTGTCTTACTCCAGATGTCACTGTGAAAGGATGAGACGTTCCCTGATTTATTCTAACTACACTTCTACAATGGTTATATCTTCAACTGTTGATTATTAAATTTTTTTTATAGAATTAGTCTCATTACTTAATTGTGGGACCTTGTATATATACACAAGTGCAAGCACATCTACACAGACACATGCACTGTTGCTTGTGAAGCTCACTGATCTACTTTTTGTTTGGTTTTATATCTTTCCATTAGATTTTTATAGCTTCACAGCATTTCATTAATTGCACCTGCCTGGTGTGTTCCTCCCTCCCAGAACTGCTACTATCTGTTTGTGCTTGTCATACTCATCTGTACTGTGCTCTACATCAATGCGGCTACATCAATTCAGTGATTTGTGTGTATTCATGTGGTTTTGTTGGATTTATATAAGTGCTTATGAGGGCTCTATAGCAGCAAGATTCACATTTTGTTTGTGTTTGTTATATTGTAAAGCCCGCAGATCTACTTTTTATTTAGTTTTATATCTTTCTATGACAAGCTCATAAACACGTACACTGGTGCAAGTGCATGTCCACAAACACAGGTGCAAACTCATATACACATACACAAGTGCAAGCACAGGCACATACAGGGGTTCAAAGGCATGAATATGTACACATACACAAGTGCAAACTCATGAATATGTACACATAAACAAGTGCAAGCACATGTGTATAGACACAGGTGCAAGCACATCTGCACATGCAGTTGAAATGGTTACAACACTCAGGTGCCCTGTTTCTTCTGTTTTCTCAGCTGGTTGACAAATATGAGACCCTGGAGAAAGATCATGACATCCTGAAGGTTAGTCATGCGGGCTCTTGGTGTTTTTATCAGTTTTTTCTTCTTTTTGTGCTTAGTTATGATTTGGATTATCTTTACAACACCCCGGATCCATCCATGGTTGCTTAAGATCATCTGTCAGATTAAATATTAGAGTTCTACAACTAGTAGTATGGCTGATATGCCTCTTGTGCCAGGCTATGCTGATCTTTACTCCAATTTTCTCATTGATTTTTTGCAGCACACTGCACCTAGTTTCTTCTATCTTTTTCTCTGTCTCTATACATCTCGCTGTGTGTCTCTGTGTCTCACTCTGTTTTTCTCTGTCTCTCTCTCTCTCTCTCTCTCTGTCTCTCTCTCTCTCTCTCTCTCTCTCTCTCTCTCTCTCTCTCTCTCTCTCTCTCTCTCTCTCTCTCTCTCTCTCTCTCTCTCTCTCTCTCTCTCTCTCTCTCTCTCTCTCTCTCTCTCTCTCTCTCTCTCTCTCAGGATATTAAACAGTATCAGTGTGGTTCATAGGCAGGTGATCTGTAACTGTGTCAGAGTCAGCCATTCCATCACCTCTTTCATATTCTGAGATTATGTGTATGAAGCAACCCTCCCCCCCCCCCCAACCTCTCCCTTTTCCCCAATGTAAACAGAAGGAACTTGTTATAAATTTAAAGTTACCCTGCTAAGTCACATGACTATCTTGAACTTTTGGTGAACAAAAAAATCCCAGAGAAGACGTGATTTGTGTATTTCAGTGGAATGAATTCAATTTCTTTGTCTTTATCTTTTGTTGTCTCACAGATATCAGATTGTAGCCCAGTGTCATGGTTTTCTGTACTTGTCTTGCACTTCTCTGGTGGCTTGAGTGATGGATTTGTTAATCTTTTTGCAAATCTCTGCGAAAAAATTTCTCTTTCTCTTTCTTGGTCTTCATCTCACTTCCTCCCAAATTTTTGCTGCAAAAATTCTCATATGCAGTTTGGCCAGGCTAAATTCTTACTAGATGGCCGAACCATTTCTTTCTTTCTCTGTCAGTAAAATCCAGACATGGTCTTATTCCAGCTTTCTGTCTAATGCTGGTGTTCATAGCAATATCTCTTCTAAAGTTGTTAATAACTGTCAGACACCTTTTATAGGTGTGACACAAGTACAATTGTTATTTGTGCCAGGTGAATCCACACTTCCATGAACATGTAAACGCTGATAACCTTGTTCCAGTTCTGAAATAACGTTTATTCAAGAACTCATGATAATTGCAAAGTTAGTATGGCTTCCACACAACGTTATCGACTACTGAGTAGCCACCGATTTTATTCTTATGGTTCACAAGCACACTAATCCCAGGTAGTCACTGGCTAAATACATCAACAGTACACTGGTATAGCTGATCACAAATCATCCTCGCAATATGAACAAAGTCGTGAGAGGCTGAGGATGCTTCTATAGCAATAATTACGTATCCTCCTGGCTACCACAGTTAACTTTATAATCCGGCTATTCAACAGAAACACTTGACACCAGTATGAATAACCACTACTGTTCTGTCCACAGTTTTAAATCCAGTCCATTCCAAGCGAAAAACAATTCCCACCTTTTAAAAGAGCACCAAACAAACACATCCGTTCACTGGACTGTCCAACTACTAACTGCCGTGTGTCGCTCTACCTGTTTATCCAGTCTCCCTGTAACCTCCCCACTCAGTTACCTGTATCGCCGTGCAGGTCTACACACAACCCGTCTGACCAGTAATTTGACCTGTCTGCTGTTATGAGTCAGTGTAGTCGTTGTTTGTCTTTCTCTCACAATCTGTGGTAAAGTTGACTCATGACAATGACCTTGTGGAGACAGCGCATTCAATTGTTCATGTTTTATTACATGTTGATTTAACTCTGTAGTGATGCACCTGGTGAGCTACAGTGAGATATGCTGTCAGTTAACTGTTTGTGTCTGCATTGCTAATGTTGTTTTACTTCCCAGGAGTCCCTGTTAGAAACACAAGAAAAGCTGTATGCTTTCCGGGCAGAGGTCATTGAGGTCAACAAGTAAGCATTGTCTTATGTATCTGTGTTTATAATTTGAGAACTTTGAAAAGATTTGGTGATGGCTGGGTAACATCATCCCATTATGGGCTAACCTATAAATGGGGGAATAGAGATTTGAGAACTTTGAAAAGATTTGAGGATAGCTGGATAACATCCCATTATGGGCTAACTTATAAATGGGGGAATAGAGAATTGAGAACTTTGAAAAGATTTGATGATGGCTGGATAATATCCTAATATTGGCTAACCTATAAATGGGGAAATAGAGATTTGAGAACTTTGAAAAGATTTGGTGATGGCCGGATAACATCCCATTATGGCTAACCAAGAAATTAGGGAAAAGAAATGTTAACTGTTGCAGTCCCAGAAGGTCATAGGATACTATGACAGCAGCAAAATCATGGGTTTACTACATCCATCATCATCATCAATACACAACCTCAGTCTAGCAACCCAGCAGATTAACCTTGACTTTTTTTTTTAAAAGAAGGAATGAATGAATGAAACGAGAATTGACATCAGAACACTTGGCATTCCCACACATGCTCCATCCCCTTTTTCAGTAATCAGTGAAGAGTAGGAATGCTGCGTGGTATCGAGGCATGGTGTCCACCTCGAGTGCTAGGGGTTCCAGGTTCAATCCCTGGTGGGAGCTATGATTTTTTTTTTTCACAGGGACTTGGACTTCTACTAATTCCCATTGGGCTCTGAGTAGTGAGATCGGACCCCCATGTGCATTATTGCGCACGTAAAAAAATCCCTTGGCAGTTAGAAATCAAAAAGAGTAGTCTAACAGCACTGCCTGGGCAAAATTTTGAGTTAAAATTCTACCTTAAGTATTTCAGAATCCTTGCCGGTGCTACAGAGCCTGTGCAATGTGCTGAGCTTCTTCGGACTCAGACTTGAGTTAGAAGAAGAACGGAGCACTTGTGGGTAACACCCTAGTGCCATGATGTGTGTTCAAAACCTCAAACCTCAGTGAAGAGTCAGCAGGCTAATATGTTGCAACCTGATTGAGAAGGAATAAATCTGCGTTATACAAATTAAAATATTATTTGATTAATTTAAAACTTCTGCGGCAAAATTTACAGTGAAACATTAGGAGAAATTAGCTTGGGATGTGCCAAAGCTAATCAAGTAATGGGTCAACTATCTCCCCTGTTGACACACAAGCAGATACCCCAGAGTACTAAAGGGAATCGTATCAGAACAATTTTTTCCAAACACTATGCTATCAGTGCCAAACATGGACAATTACATCTTCCAATGAACATAAAATTGTGACAACAAATATGAAATGTCTTAGAAGAGCTGCAGGAGTTTCAAGGAAAGACAGAATACAAAATCATGAAATCAGCCGAATGCTAGGAATAAAGCCAGTCTTACAGGTCATCAAAGAACAACAAGTGAAGTGGTTTTGACACCTAACAAGAATGCATGGTTCTATCTGCCACAGCGAGCCACACTAAAACGTTACAACGGGTATAGATCGAGTGGAAAACCTTGGGAAAGATGGAGTGAGGGCATTATGTTACAGAAATGAACATCAGTCTTAATAGTGCTTTTGACAGAGCTCTTCAACGAATGTTACATCTTCCCCCCAACACTTTGCTGAGGTAAAAGTAAGTAAAAAGTAAAGATCCCTTTTCACGCCTTTGGGCGCATCGGGCATATGGGCAGAGCGTCCCATATTTTTACAGACCATCAGCACTCTGTGGGTAATGTGGTCAGCATTACGCCGGCTGTCTTTACTTTCCCAGGACAGCCCATCCTGGTACCCATTTTAGGCTGGGTCGACCTGCGAAGGTGGAAAAGAAGAAGAAAAAGAAAAAGATATTTGTATTTCAGTTGAAAGGTTGATTTATTGACTGAGGTGATAGATTCCTGTCTCACTTGATTTATTGACTGAGGTGATAGATTCCTGTCTCACTTGATTTATTGACTGAGGTGATAGATTCCTGTCTCACTTGATTTGTTGACTGAGGTGATAGATTCCTGTCTCACTTGATTTGTTGACTGAGGTGATAGATTCCTGTCTCACTTGATTTATTGTCTGAGGTGATAGATTCCTGTCTCACATGATTTATTGATTGAGGTGAGTCATGTCTCACTTGACTTATTGACTGAGATAAGTCATGTCTCAATTGACTTATTGACTGAGATGAGTTATGTCTCAATTGATTTACTGACTGAGATGAGTCATGTCTCAATTGACTTATTGACTGAGATGAGTCATGTCTCACTTGACTTATAGACTGAGATGAGTCATGTCTCACTTGACTTATTGACTGAGATGAGTCATGTCTCAATTGACTTATTGACTGTGATGAGTCCTGTCTCACTTGACTTATTGATTAAGGTGATTCCAGTCTCATTTGCTTATTGATTAAGGTGATTCATGTCTCATTTGACTTATTGAATAAGGTGATTCCTGTCTCATTTGACTTATTGATTAAGGGGATTCCTGTCTCTTTTGACTTATTGATTAAGGTGATTCCTGTCTCATTTGTCTTATTGATTAAGGTGATTCCTGTCTCATTTGTCTTATTGATTAAGGTGATTCCTGTCTCATTTGTCTTATTGATTAAGGTGATTCCTGTCTCATTTGACTTATCGATTAAGGTGATTTCTGTCTGACTTGACTTATTGACTAAAGTGAGTTATGTCCTTTTTGACTTATTGACTAAGGTGATTCCTGTCTCATTTGACTTATTGACAGGTGATTCTTGACTCATTTGACTTATTGATTGATGTGATTTTTACCTACAGCAAGCTGTCTCGCTCGGAGCTTGAGAACAAACAACTGAAGCATGACATAGAGAACCTCAAGCTAGACCTTGCAATGGCCCGCAGGTAAAATAGACCATTGGCACCAATATACTGACCATTGTGTGTGTGTCTTGTATTTTGGAGGCTGTAGTCATGTATTTGGAGGCTGTGTGTCATGTATTTGGAGGCTGTGTGTCATGTATTTGAGGCTGTGTGTCATGTATTTGGAGGCTGTGTGTCATGTATTTGGAGGCTGTGTGTCATGTATTTGGAGGCTGTGGTCATGTATTTGAAGGCTGTGTGTCATGTATTTGAAGGCTGTGTGTCATGTATTTGAAGGCTGTGGTCATGTATTTGGAGGCTGTGTGTCATGTATTTGGAGGCTGTGTGTCATGTATTTTGAGGCTGTGGTCATGTATTTGGAGGCTGTGTGTCATGTATTTGGAGGCTGTGTGTCATGTATTTGGAGGCTGTGGTCATGTATTTGGAGGCTGTGGTCATGTATTTGGAGGCTGTGTGTCATGTATTTGGAGACTGTGTGTCATGTATTTGGAGGCTGTGGTCATGTATTTTGAGGCTGTGTGTCATGTATTTGGAGGCTGTGGTCATGTATTTGGAGGCTGTGTGTCATGTATTTGGAGGCTGTGTGTCATGTATTTGGAGGCTGTGTGTCATGTATTTGGAGGCTGTGTGTCATGTATTTGGAGGCTGTGTGTCATGTATTTGGAGGCTGTGTGTCATGTATTTGGAGGCTGTGGTCATGTATTTGGAGGCTGTGTGTCATGTATTTGGAGGCTGTGGTCATGTATTTGGAGGCTGTGTGTCATGTATTTGGAGGCTGTGGTCATGTATTTGGAGGCTGTGTGTCATGTTTTTGGAGGCTGTGGTCATGTATTTGGAGGCTGTGGTCATGTATTTGGAGGCTGTGGTCATGTATTTGGAGGCTGTGTGTCATGTATTTGGAGGCTGTGTGTCATGTATTTGGAGGCTGTGGTCATGTATTAGTGGCTATGAACGGTCAGTCCTGTAGCAGGTCCTTTAAATAATGTCACTGTCTTTACAGTCGGCCTGAAAGAAACTCAGTCTCTCTCGAGCACTCCCGCTTGTGCACTTTTCTACTAAAGGTGTCATATCCTGTCCCCATCTTCATGCTGATTGGACCCTGCTTTTCTTTCCTGATGCCATATCTTCTGCTACTATTCTTCCCAATCTGCAGTGGCATTTGATATGTCCACAATATTTCAGTCTTTGAGACAAAGTGCTTTTTACTAGCCAACGCTCCTTGGTGTTCAGATCTGTCAGGATGTCAGCATTTCTTTTCTTCCTGGTCTGTGGTAATCTGAGAATCTTTCTATAGCATTTCAGCTCAGAAGCTTATAATTACAGTTTCCTAATTCTTAAATACTCTGTTTGATGCAATTGCTCATGATTTGGCAGCAGACTGATTTTTAATTGATTTAAACACTTTGAGCTTTGGGCATTAAGGAAGCCACGGCAAACTACTGAACGTAAAATTGCCTTGTCAAGCCATAAACAGTAATAACTGATGAGCTAGCATCTTTAGACACCGCCCAGACGATAGTGTTATATTGCGCTATGAGGAGGCATGGGATTCACAGCCGATGGCCAGTGTGGCTAGCAAGACCCGCCCGTGTTGGAAAACTCTTATACAATGATAGCATGGGATTTCAGGACCATTGTTGTCAATAATTGTGAACATTTGTGTTTAGTCTGTTTCTTCACAGGCGCTCAGATCCTATCCTTTCTGCAGTCATTTCTTCCTTCATTCTCATTCCCTTCCTGATGTGCCCCCTCCACACAACATGGTCCATGGCATTTTGTTCCCACGAGTCCACCTCAATACCTGTATCATTCATATCCCACTTGCACACATCTTTCTTGTGTCGTAGTAGAGGTTCGCCTCGACATCTTCTACCCATCTTTAGTTTACCATAGAGGATGTCATCTCTGCCATCCTCCATTCTCCATTCTCCATAAACAGAAATGCAACTATCTAGCATTATGTAACTCAGTGTCAAGTAAACCGTTTGCACTGACATTTTTGTACTGTGTTGTCTTTCCTTTAATGATAAACTTTTGCTGTGAATTTATTCTACCATAGTCACAAACCGGACAGTGCCTTAGTTTTGATGTTTTTACCAGCTCCCCACTTCATTGTGTTAGGAGGCTACTAAGCGCCCAATTTCTTCTCTCAGACTAGACAAGGTATGTTCTGGGGTTTACTTTAGCGTGTGTACAAGTAAGCCGGATCTGTAAAACGGTTCTGCATGCAAACTAAAGTTCTAGAACAAAACTAAATTCCAGAAGTGGATGAACAACCAGAACTTTTCTACGTAGTTTACAGCTGGTGAATTGAAGAAGAAGAAGTTAATTAAAGAAAAAGAAGAGGATCTAAGAATAATGAGAACAGTGTGTACATAAATTGTTTTTCAATGAAAGGATATAAATTCACACAGAAAACTGGCTATCAACATCATATCGAGACAATTGACTATATTTGGACATGTGGGAAGTTGCTGCATGTGACTGCTAATGCTCTTCTCTTCATCGAGGAGCTGTGGCCCATGAAGCTGCTAGAACTGCAGCAGCAATTCAGAAAAGACAAGAAATAAAAGACACTGAAGCAAATCACCAGAGAGATGCGGCCTTAATTCCCTGTCCCCACTGCTCAAGAACTTTCATTGCTAGAATTGGCCTAATCAGCCATCTGCGCACTCATAAAACTGAATCCAGTCATCAGTGGATGAAAGGACATGTCATAATAACCTATGATGGATCACCAACAACTAAACTTTGGCACATCATAAGAAAAGGACATTTAGAGACAACTGAGGAAGCAGGAAAGTTCAAGGGTGAGCAAGGCAGATAGAGAATATGTGACAGGATGTTGGACAGTTTGGCTTCACAGGCTTGGAAAAACATCTGAATCAAAAATGATTGTTACATGTAGAATTCCTCGTAGACATTTCATTTCTGTTGTTCAGATTGTTCTTTTTCCTTCTCTTGTTAATGTCCAGGCTTAGTCTTAGTCTTAGTCGAGGTTTCAGCTTCTCTGCAATCGAGTTTCCCCAAACTTGCTCATTTTCTGCGCCAGTGAGAATCAGGTGAAATATCCCTCACTGTTTCATTTGAAAACTGGTGAACCCCTGAGTTTAGTGCTTGGTGCAGCCCTGTGAGCTGTGTTTTTCATGTGGAATGTCCACATTTGTCATTGGTAACACAATATTGTTAGAAATACATTGAACAGTTCTCTCTTGGTGTCAGTTGTTAAATGTTTGTTTGACAATGCTAGTGACGTGTCTAATTATTTTACTTGCTACATTACACCCGTATTCTATTTCTGTCTCGCCTTGCTACCAAGGATCATGAGGAGCGGCTGACTGAACGGTTAGAACGCTGTGCTCTCAAGCAGGGTTCAAATCCTCGGTGAGGCTGGGGATCTGTTTCTTTCGGGTGCAAAATAAAATCCTCACCTGCACAGTCCATGGCGACAGCACTAGCCATGCGGCCGTTAATTCTTAGGCTCAAAGACCCCCCCCCCCCCCCCCCCCTCCCGTGCAGCGCAAAAATGGTATTAAAAAGGCAGTAATTGGCAGTTTTTTAGTAATGATCATCAATCAGCAGGTTCTTCACAGAACGTGGCTCTTGTCATGGCACACCTGCTCTCTTTCTCTAGCCAATTCTCCAGCCCTGTGCTTTCATGGCCTTTGTTTATTGTTCAGTGCATCTTCAGTGTCTTGTGTCTACATTGGCGGAGGTCTGCCTCTGCCTCATTTCCAGGAAACTGTACCCTTCATCACCGTTCTCTCCAGGCCATCATGACGTTTAACCTGGTTAAAATAGCTCAGCTTTCAGGACAGGATGCTGTTTATGAGCCAGTTCTCTTCAATGCTGAGAGTTTGTAGAATGTCAATGTTTTCCTTCTTCTTGGTCCGTGATATTTTAAGAAAGTCTGTGTAAAGTTTCAGTTCAAAAGCTCCAGTTTGTTTCTTCAGTGATTGTGTAAGTGTCCGAGAATAACATCCCTACGTTGCCGTGGGAAAGATACATAATCTCAAAAGTATTTACACCTGATCACTGACCTGATTTCAGTGCTGTACCCATGCAGACAAGCTACGAGGAAGCCTATCACAAGACCAGCGGCTCTGATCAGCACCAGTCCTCTTACAGCCACGATGCCACCGCCAGATCCAGATCTGTGGAGAGGTGAGTCCCTCTGTTGACTTTATCTTCAGTTTTACCTGGGGGGAGGGGTTTCTGCACCCTTTGCCTCTCAGGTAGATGCTATCCAACTTCAAAGGAAGCTCCCAATTAGTCAACTCTTACAACATGCTTCTGGGTAGGCATTGGGTCTAAAAGACCAATGGAGAGATGGCATTAAGCCTTACAGAAATGAACACCAGTCTTAACAGTGCCTTTGACAGAGCTCATCAACAAATGTTACATCTCCCCCCGACACTTCGATGAGGTACAAGGTGAAAGAGAAGAAGGAGAAGAAGGTTTCTGTGCCACATTCTTTCTTTGTGGTTGGTGGGGGGTTGGGGGTGAGAACAATTACACTGCCCCCCCCCCCCCCAATCAAGCATGTTATAAAAAGTGACTTTTAGATAATCATCATCATCATAAGCTACTTCTGCCGTTAAGTGGCATGGGAAGGAATAATTTACAATCCTGTGCGCACTGGCTGACTGTTGTCATGCTGTGAAGGCGCAAAATGTCTTTAATGTTGTCGACCCAACAAGGGGGCAGTCCTACCTGAACTCAGGTACCATTTTGTTTTTAACCAATGACCAGCTAAATATCAAAATATCTTCTTGAAATTTAATGAGTAGGTTCTTGACACATAACATTTCGTTAGTGTATTATTTGTTTTGTTCTAAACCTGTTTAAACGTGTAAAATTATTATTAAATTATAAAATACTCTAAAACTTTAAAACAAGACAATTAGATGTTGGTTTTAGACAGATAATTTCTGAACAAACCTTACAGGAGTCCTGAATTTTAGAGTTAATGCATTTTAATATTACAGTTAGATCCCTTACCTCTAGTTTGTCTGTACTAGTTATACTTTTAAAGTTATGAAGTTGTAAAACTGGGGCTGAAATGACTAACAAATTGTCAAATTAAAATACTCATATCTCAGCTTACATCAGGTATTTCTCTAGGCTGGTGATCGGAGACCTAGCTATTACAGTGACAAAGTTTATTAATTTATCTACAATAGTTTAGAAAAAAAAACCTAAAAGACCTGTCACACCCCCTAATTTTGGCAAATATTTCCTAACAATTTTAAAAGAGAATAACTGCCCTTACTCGGCTTTAGTGAGGTAATGTCCTCCGGATAAGTATGACAGTACTTTCTGATGGGCTTGCTTGTCATCTCTAGTAAGTCTTCGCTTCCTCCTAACTATTCTGGCTTCATGTGAGGCATCTGTGGCTTGCTGTTGAGCATTTTTACTGTTGCACATTTTTACTGTTGCACATATCATTATCCAGAAAACAATCTATAGCAAACAATGAGCTCCAGTCCCTTCACAATATCCAAGAATGACATAGCACCATCAGTGAATACACTCATTCTATTCTTCCCTTTCTTCGCGTTCACCAGCTGTGCATCTGTTTTACACATCTGACTCATTTGTATGCAGACTGCTGGTTCCTTGCCCTTCAGGCAGATGCACTCCAACTTTGAAGGAAGCTACCAGCTAGTCGACTTTTACGACATGCTTTTAGGTAGGTAGTGGGTCTTTTCTAGTTTTCCCTATAACAGGGCCCCGGAACCCACACAGGGAAATTGCATTATGTAATTTGTTTCTTCTTCTTCATCTTCTTCTTTGCGTTCACCAGCTGTAAACTCTGGCGGAAAGTTCTGGTTGCTCGTCCACTATTGAACTGCAGTCCTGCTCCAGAACCTGAGTGTTGCATGTGCATCAGTTTTACAGATCTCATTCTCTTGAATACAGACTGTTGGTTCCTTGCCTCTCCGGCAGATGCACTCCGACTTCAAAGGAAGCTCCCCAATTAGTCGACTCTTACGACATGCTTTTGGGGAGGCAGTGGGTCTATTCTTGTTTTCCCCACAATGGGGCCCCGGAATTCACACGGGGGTAATTTGTTTCTGTTTTCTAAAACAAAATTCAGGTATATTGCTTGTTTGTTTATTTCTGCTTAGGTCGTATAGCAATCATCATAGACATGATGATGATGACGATGACAGAGGGGAGACCACTGTAGAGTCAGAATCTGATGGAGAATTCACAAGATCTCCACTTATAAAGGCAGAAAATGAATGGAAATTACGGCAGCAATCGCGAGATTTTACTCCCAAATTGCAGCGCAAATTTTACGGCACAGAAATACCTGGCAGCTGTGGCGGTAAGAAAGACCTAGGAGGCTGCTTGTCAATGACCCAGTTACTTGTTTGTGTATATCCACAACATGTATCTTTGTTTGGTTCTTTATTAACATCCTACCCCCAGATGATGTCACAAGAAAGTCCAGCATTTTAGAGGGTGGTAAGACCGGTTTCCCGACTTTCTGATGCTTTTAATGACCCCAAAACATGTAGCACTGGCCCTAAACCCAACCCACCTACGTCCCATGAGAGAGTGCAGCCTAGATCCCACGACTGCAAGCAGCCTATCTACCTTCTTCTTCTTCTTCACTTCCTCTTTTACCGCTGTGGGTGTCGAGGGAGATATAAGGTTCTGTTTCTAGCTCTTCTGGCTGCCTCGACCATAGGCACATCGTACTGTTGTAGAGTTTCTCTGATGTTATCCTTCCATCTTGTTCTTGGTCTACCCCGTGCTCTACGTCCTTCTTCTCTTCCCATGTATGCTTTGTATGGTATGGTGTCACAAGGCATTCTCTCTAAGTGGGCAAACCATTTCACTTGTTGTCTTTGTATGTAATCCAGAATTGGTTCTGTGCGGACTTGTTCTCTTATGATCTCATTTCTGATCTTATCTCTTATGGTCACTCCTACAGCCCTTCTCAGACATCTCATTTCCGTGGTTACTAATTTTCTTTTATGGTTTGTTGTGAGTGACCATGTCTGGCACTGGTAGCACAGAGTTGGAATAAATATGCTTTGAATAAGATGTCTCTTTGTGCTGATTGGGATTGTCTTATGCTGTAAGAGGGGGGGCTAGCTGTCCCAATACTTGGTTTGCTTTACTGCATCTAATGTCAGTTTCTTTATCCAATTTCCCATCTTCGGTAAATGTAGTTCCCAGATATTTAAACTCAGCTGCCTGTTTAATGCCTTTGTATTCTATTGTTATGTTTAGATCTGTCTTATTTTTTCCTATTGACATTACTTCTGTCTTTTCAGTGTTGATTCTCATATTATTTGTTTTACATTCTTCATTCATGGATGTTAGATGTTGTTGCAATTTCATAGCTGTATCTGCTATCAAGGCCTGGTCATCTGCAAAGAGTAATTCGTTGATCTTACTAAGATCTTCATTCATGGGCTTGGCATTCTTGCATATACTGTCGATGTAGGTGATAAACAGCAGTGGTGATAAGACACACCCCTGTCTTACTCCAGATGTCACTGTGAAAGGATGAGATGTTCCCTGATTTATTCTAACTACACTTCTACAATCCCTGTATAAACTTTTGCACACTTCGATGAGGTTTGCTTTACTGCATCTAATGTCAATTTCTTTATCCAATTTCCCATCTTCGGTAAATGTAGTTCCCAGATATTTAAACTCAGCTGCCTGTTTAATGCCTTTGCATTCTATTATTATGTTTAGATCTGTCTTATTTTTTCCTATTGACATTACTTCTGTCTTTTCAGTGTTGATTCTCATATTATTTGTTTTACATTCTTCATTCATGGATGTTAGATGTTGTTGCAATTTCATAGCTGTATCTGCTATCAAGGCCTGGTCATCTGCAAAGAGTAATTCGTTGATCTTACTAAGATCTTCATTCATGGGCTTGGCATTCTTGCATATACTGTCGATGTAGGTGATAAACAGCAGTGGTGATAAGACACACCCCTGTCTTACTCCAGATGTCACTGTGAAAGGATGAGATGTTCCCTGATTTATTCTAACTACACTTCTACAATCCCTGTATAAACTTTTGCACACTTCGATGAGGTGTTCGCTTACTCCATATCTTGCCATTATTTTCCATAATAATTGTCTGTCGACTCTGTCAAATGCCTTCTCCTGGTCTACGAATGCCACAAATAAGTTCTTATTGTATTCAATGTTCTTTTCTATTAACTGTTTAAGTGTGAAGATTGCATCTGTGCAGCTTCTATTTCTCCTAAATCCCATCTGTTCTTCTGCCAGCTGTGGTTCTATCACTGGTCTCAGTCTTGTTTCTATTATCTTGGCATACATTTTGCCAACAGGGCTTAAAAGAGAGATGCCTCGATATTGACCGCATTCTCGTTTGCCTATCTACCACCCCCTGAAATATTAGACTGTCCTGTGACCTGTGGATTTCCCCTGTTTGGTTTACGATATTAATAAAGCACCGTTTGTTTTTATTGTGTACATTAAGCATAAGGAGTTGTGTTAGTGTAGTGGCTGAAGGGTTTGACTTTGAATCTGCATTTAGTTGTATTTTTATTTTAGTGAGCCTGGCTCCAAAGTAGACCAAACCTAAAATGGGTACCAAGTAATGTCCCGGGAAGTAAAGGCAGCTAGTATGATGTTGGTCACATCACCCACCAAGTGCCAATTGGTCTGTAAAAATATAACTGAAACATCATATGCTTTATGAGTTGAGGACATACTATGGTGCTTTATTATAAGCTTTTATTATGTTTGAAATGTTTGTCTAGTTAGCCATTCGTGGGCAGTTGTTTTTATTTACTTATTTCTTGGAGTGCAGCTGCCTGAGGCAAGGAACTAACAGCCTGCATACAGCTTTTCTTTACTTTATATTCAGGCTTGGAAAACTAGAAACAGATTGGAAAACAAACACAGGTTATAACCATGAAAAAGTTTCCCTCAAACATCTGAGCAGAACAGATCAAGTCACAGATTTTCGCTTACACTCTGGACACTGCTGCAGACTCATATAAAATAGGTATGAGCCAGATGTCGGCGTCTGTGGCTTAGGCGTTATGAACTTGTTTTGTAATGCCGGGGTGCCGGGTTAGATCCCAGCTGCGGGCCTTGTGTTGGTTTCGTCAGTGGTATCGAGTAGCGGACCATCCAGAAAGCATTGGCAAACTACTGGACGTAAACTTGCCTAGGAAAACCACAACGGCAAAAATGCTGGGGTTGGTTCTGCAACATCCTGTAAAGGATACGCAACTAAATTATGAGCCAATCAGCTCTCTGCCAGTGTCTTGGTGCTGAACAGACTCCAGATCATGTCTTGCAAGACTGTCTTGTCTTGGTGGAGTTACGAAGCAACAAACGGCATATGGGGCCCACACCCATTAGACCTGATGACTAATCTTCAGGGAATGAATGAGTGAATCAAGAATTGACATCACTGCACTAGGGACATTCCCACATTTGCTCCGTCTCCTTTCATGAGTAGCCTCTGTTTCCCCTTCAGTGTTGAATCTTCCAAACCCTCCACATACCTCTTTTTGGATTAGTCTTTCAGTGAATGGATTCTCTTTCTGTTATGTTGCACTGTCCATTTGGTTCTATAGAGCCTTCACCAGTTCTGCTTGATCATATCTCACTGCCCAAATGAGCAGCAGCAGCTAATCTATAGGCCTGTTTATTACCTCGCACACCTGAATATCTGTTCAGAATATCTATTTCGGGAGCCGCTTTAGCGTAGTTGATAGGAGGCTCGCTTTCAAATCCAGCTGCGACTCGCTGCAGGCATGGTCAGTGTTCGGAACCAGGCTCTAGGAAATGGGTACCAGAGTGACCCTCTAGGTAAATGGAGGAACGTCGATGTAGCTACGGAGTTGCATGCGGATGGCGACACAGGCGGACAGTTTCTTATCAGCTGTCCCTACTGGTGGCAGAACACTTATGGTTTATAAGCATGACATTAGTTCACATCTCCCGACTTTTTTTTTTCAGCTGAATATCTAGGACAGAAAATCCCTGATATGCTCCTGATTTGGGTCTAATGAAGTGCTGCAATCCACTCTACATGCAGGACACCAGTCCCAGTTTTCTGAAGCATGCTCTGCAATCTGTTACAATTACATGTCGAGCTGTGCTACTCTCACACTATCAGAGCTGCCATTACTGCCTCCACCTCCATTCTCATACTGTATGTAGTGATGTTGTAGGCGAGGCTCTGTGTTTTCAAGCAGTGTCCATTCACCTTTGTAATGAAACCTCACCCACTCTTCTAACCTCTAACCTTTGGTGAAACCTCAGAAACCTTGAGATGAGATTCAGGTTTGTGGCCAACAGTGGATTAAGCACATAACCAGAGATCGCTGAAGAAGATTTTCAGACTTGTATTGATGTTAATTATTGTATGCAAATATGAACATTACTCTACACAGGACCCCCTATCACAGTGGATCGTACCAGTGTACACTCAGCAGACTCTCCTCATTCATCAGCAAATCCATCTCCACGGGATAAGAGAACCCATGCTGTTTATCGGGGAAGGGAGATCGTTTCTAGATCCAGCACTTCAAAATCATCATCATCGTATGTTCCTAGTTCCCCCACGGATCGTTCAAGGCTGAGCAGAGACGGGGACAAACGCAGCCCGGGTGGAACTTACAAAGACAAAGATTCTAAGAAGAATCACAGCATGTCACCAAAGAGTAAGTTTTATGAACTTAAAGTCAGTTAAACAAGTTTCTGGATGGCAAAATGCTTAGAGCTTTTGAAGCTAGTTTCTTCTTCTTCTCATTCACTGGCTGTAAACTCCAGCGGAAAGTTCTAGTTGTTTGGACACTTCTGGTGGATTCTAGTCTGATCCCAGAACCTGAATGTTGTGTGCACATCTGTTTTACAAATATGACCTATTTGTATGCAAACTGTTGGTTCCCTGCCTCTAAGACAGATGCATTTCAACTTGGAAGGGAGCTCCCAGTTAGTTGACCTTTACAATCTGCTTTTGGGTAAGCAGTGGGTCTGTTCTTGTTTTCCCCCACAATGGGATACCCTGACACCACACGGAGATGAAGTTAATTTAACTAACTGTTGAGGAGTCACTGTGGTGTACAGCTAGATGCTCGCCTCCAGATCTGAAGTTCCTGGGTTTGGGTCCTGACGGAGCCAGGCTTTCTTCAGAAATGACCTTGGCTCCCAGGTCGACCCAGCCTTGAGTGGGTATGAGGTGTAGTCCTGGGAAGTGAAGGCAGCTAGCGTGATGCTGATCACATCATCCACCAATTGTCGATTGGTCTATAAAATATAGGTCCAGCCCTATATGCCTAGTGTGTCTGAGGCTTGGAACAGGGCCTTTTACATCTGTTCTAGATTGCTTATGTATCTGAATGGAAGATTCAAAACTGAGATCAGAAACAGAATAGGACAGGCAAAAACTGCATTTTATCAAATGAAGAACATCTTATGCAATATATCCTTGTCATTGAGAGTTAGAAAAATAATTCTTGCTTGCTACATACATCCAGTTTTAACAAATTGCTGTGAATCCTGGACAATCGGTAGGCAGGCCAAACAATTTCTTGAGGCCTCAAAGATGTGGTTTTACAGAAGATTGCTTAGAATACATTGGACAGCCAAAAAGAGCAACCAAGAGGTTTTGAAAGAAGCGGGAGCCCGAAGACAAATTGTCACAGACATCAGAAGGCGACAGTCATCATTTTTCGTCCATGTTGTGAGAAGAGGGAAAAAGAACATGTTGTCACCCCTGGAAAGATCTGTGGAAGGAGGGATATTGGAAGACAGCGAGAGAAGATTCTTGACAGTCTTGGTGCATGGCATGGAGGTGTGTCGGCACACGAACTGATACATGCTGCAGGAGATCGTGGATTATGCAGAGGCATGATCGCCCACGCCAGTCGGACAGGCACCTGATGATGATGATCTGAATGTTTGTGCGTGTATGAATGTGATCTTGAATGTACACACACACTTGTATTTTCACAGAATTAACCATGCTCTCCAACGGACTCACCAGCGAGCAAGCTCTAGAGAAGATCAAATCTGGTGATGTGGTGTCTCGGCCAGCCTGGGAGGATGTGTACACCTCGCTAGCTGCAGGTCGACCTGGTGGAGGTCGTGAGATTGCAACTCCACCCGTAAATTATGTAAGTGCATCATCTTTGCTTTTACCACTTTCTGTACCTTGCAAAGAATTGTTGGCATCTTTCCAAAATAATTTTGTGCTATGGCAGTAGTTTCCAACCTTCTTGAGGTAATTCACCCCCCTTTTTCCCCCAGTTTTGAATATCATCATCCTTTACATTTGCCCAGCCAACTGGCATAGGCGCTCATGCGTCTCCACAGATAATGATCCCTGGTTGCCTGAAACAGCTGTCTTGATGATATCCCTTCATGAAATCGTTTCAGCCATCCAGCATCCTCTCTTTTGGTCTGCCTCTACCCCTTTTCCCACTGATCTTTCTAGTTGTCACTATGTTCTCCAATGTCTCTCTTCTCATTATGTGGCCAAAGAAAAGTGTTTGTATCTTTCTTATTGTTTTGGGGATAAGAGGATCCATGCTGTTTATTGTGGGAGGTAGATTGTTTCTAGAGCCAGCACTTCAAAGTTTTGAGGATTTGAATATATGGAGAAAAAATATATGTAATTGACATAACATTACCTTTGACCCCTTCTGTCCTGGAGGGTATACAGGTGGAAGCACTAGCACACATAACCCGCCAATTTTCTGTCTTCAGCTTGTTGAACAAGTGTATGATAATTTAGTCCGTTTCTCTTGATTTTGCATTCCAGGTTCTTCTTTGCCCCCCCCCCCCCCCTCTTTTCCCCCCTAACTACAACCCCCCCCCCCCCACTCTTTTCCCCCCCCCTAACTACACCCCCCCCCCCCCCCCCTCTTTTTTTCCCACCTAACTACACCCCCCCCCCCCCCCTTTCCCCCAAATTTTTCATATCAATTTCTTCACAACTGAATCATTTCTCACCACATGCCTGAAGCAAACTAGCTTGCGACATTTCACCGGTGCCAAAAAATGCTCTTGTTATCTTGTAAATTTGTTTATTTCGTTTCTTTTTAGGATTAAAAGAGAGATGGCCTTTATTGTACCAGGTGTCCCCCCCTCCTCCTCTCCCCCATTTTAGGTGTCTCTCTCTGCAGAATGGCTAGGCATCTGCCAAACATGGCTCATGAAGCAGGAACTCCATAGCTCCGGTGGTAATCCTTATGGATCTTTGTAAAAAATTGGCACTCATGAACTGAGCAATGCAGCTGCAATGAACCCACGACCATCCGAGCCTGATGCAAGCAACTTGGCCACTGTGCCATGGAGACACCCCCTGTACGCCACCCCCTCCTTTTTTTGTGTGCATGTTGTGAGTAATCACTGGTGATATAAGCAGATTACAAATTTGCCTGTTATTGGAATGCAAATCTCACAATATCTACCTTCTGTATGTAATGTTCTTCAGACTCGAGATCAGATCATTAAAGAAAGACTGCAGAACATTGAGAATCTGGAGAAAAAGTACGATGATTTGACCAATGAGAAACGCAAGGTGAGTTTTTGTAATATGTCACATTGAAAAGTATGAAACTATTATTACATTTAATATGGCCGTTGTATTTCAGTACAGTAGAACCTTGATTATCCAGCTCATGATTATCCAATTCATGATTATCCAGCTCATGATTATCCAGCTCATGATTTATCAGATCATGATTAGCCAGCCCATCATTATCCTCTTTATGATTATCCAGTCCATTATTATCCTCTTCATGATTATCCAGCACATAATTATCCATCTCATGATTATCCACTTCATGATTATCCACTTCATAATTATCCAGTTCAAGATTATCCCCTTAATGATTATCTACTTCATAATTATCCACTTCATGATTATCCAGCTCATGATTTTCCACTTCATGATTATCCAGCTCATGATTTTCCTGCTCATGATTATCCAGTTCATGATTATCCACTTCATGATTATCCAGCTCATGATTATAAACTTTATGATTATCCACTTCATGATTATCCAGCTCATAATTATCTAGCTCATGATTATCTTGACCTGTATTGTCTGGCCTGGTGTATATATAAAAAAAAATTATTGACTCTGCCAAGTCGTTGAGACACCAAGGCGCAGATTTCCCCCAACAGGATAATTGACTCTCTTTACATCGTCAGTTGTGTATCTGGTTTCAGCAGTATGGAATACATTTGCTACTGTTCCTGGTTACTTTATCATTTTTGTTGTTGTTGCTGTCCTGTGTACCTCGTTAACTGTTTTGAGTCCAAGAGGGTTTAGCATCAGAGGCCCAAGGGGTAGTCAAGGGAGATGTAAAAGTGGCGCATCTTGCCTTCTGTGGGCTTCTAGGTAGGGACCTATAAAGTATGATGTGTTACTTGGGAACTCCCAAAAAAAAAAGTTCAAATAAAGATTATGAAATCTATACTAAAAATCATCCCTCTGTGAGTTCTGGAACACCATGGTGGGTGGGGGGGGAGGGGTGGGGGATTTGAACCGCTGCCTCACTAATAAGCATGTCCTAAGAAGCGACTTTGAAGTCAGAATAAGACTGCCTGAGAGGCAAGGAACCAGCAGTCTGTATACAGCTAAGCTAGATCGCTAGATCTATAAGAAGGAATTTTTTTAAATAAACTTGTATGTGTGTGCATAAATAAATTCCGATTCACAGTTCTCAGTTGGGGCTGCTGGGGCAGTTGATGAGTTGGTAGCTTCATCTGTCAATTGTGTGGTGCAGTTAGATGGCACAGAGGCAATCACAGTGCAAAGGACCACACGGGGATGTGTCTTTATCTTTCATCTTTGTTTCTGTCAATGGCTACTACTAATATTGAATGTGCATGTGTAAAAAGTAAAAAAAAATCCCTTTTCATGCCTTCGGCGCATCGGGCATACCGGAAGAACACCCATATTTTTTTTTTTTACAGACCACTTGGCACTAGGTAGGTAATGTGGTCAGCATTACGCTGGCCGTCTTTACTTCCCCAGGACTTACATCCCAGTACCCATTTTAGGCTGAGTAGACCTGCGACACCCCTAAGCCACAGACACTGCTAATGTGCATCATCATCATCATCAGGTGCCTTGCAAACTGGTGTCAGCGATCATGCCTCTCCATAATCTGCGATCTCCTGCAGCATGTATCAGTTCGTGTGCCGACACACCTCCATGCCATGCATCAAGACTGTCAAGCATCTTCTCTCGTTGTCTTCCTCTATCCCTCCTTGCAAAGATCTTTCCAGTGGTCACCACATGTTCCATTTTCTCTCTTCTCATAACATGGCTGAAAAATGGTGACTGTCTCCTTCTGATATCTGTGATAAGTTGTCTTCGGGTTCCCGCCTCTTTCAAAACCTCTTGATTTGCTAATGTGTTTATGTATACATATAAATGTAAACATATTTTTTCGTTTGATTCGTTTCAGCTGGAAGCTTCTTTAAGTAAACTGCCGGCGCAGGGTCATGGGAGGGAACGAGACAAGCTAGAAAGTGAGTTAGACAGAGTGGACCGAGATTTGGGGTCCGTGCGCATGTCACTGAAACGGTACCACGTACTCAAGTCAACTATATAAGCCTTAACCTGCAGACAGCTTTTATTCTTCCCCCCCCCCCCCCCCCCCAAATCAGTCTCTATTTTAGCATTAGTTCAAGCCCACTGCCTCTAACTTGCATGCCACATATGGCGACTAATTAGTGATTTGCTGATATCAGCTGTCATAGGCTGAAAGGCACAGATATCCCATCCTAGCTGTAAACCACAACACAGTATGCAGACCGTCTTGTTAAGAGTGAATCTAGAAAAAATATTTGTGGCATGGATATTTTTGTATGTTCATGACAATCTGACTGTTAAGTCTGACATATATGGTACTTATGAGCCATATATATAACGTTCTTGTCACTTGACTGAATTGTAACTGTGTGGCAGTGCATGGAAAAACAGCTGTTATTGTAAAGTTGGTGCAGATAAATGAGTTCAGACGCATCCGCAGATCATATTATGTGGTAATTATATGACCGATAACATTTTGTCACCTGACAAAACTATAATTAATTGGTGATGTATGTGACGACAGACATTATTGTATGTTTTTAGTGCAGAAATAGTGTACAGCGTTGCATTCCCCGACTGAATTCTGACACATCCACTGATCATGAAAGAACTGTGTACATGTCACCTGTCTGAATTTCAACTATCTAACTGATGTGATTTGATTTGATTTAAGAACCGACATCACAGCACTCAGGGTATTCCCATAAGCGCTCTGTACCCATCTTCAGCAGCCAACGAAGAGTTCCAATACTAATGGTGCCAGTAGCATTCTGATTAAAAGTCCGTCTTGCCTTTCCTTTGAGCCTCGAGCATCTGCCAGAACCTCTCGTCCCTCCCCCTTGCATCAATCTCACCAGACTGGTGATCCATCTGCTCATTTGAACTGTACACGCTTTCCCAGTCTGTCTGCTTGTTCATTTCCCAACACACTTCTCACCCGTGTCCTCAACACCGAAGCATGCCACTCTGCATGAAGCATTCCTGTCCTGATCTTCCTCAGCATGCTTTCTGAGTCAATTACAATCATGATGTGAGTGTGTGTTGTGTTCTCTAGCCAGCAGAAATCTGCAGTGACAGCCTCCACCTCCATTCTTAAGCTGGAAATTGTGGTATCATTTGCTAGGCTCTCCTGCACCAAACATCGACCATAAACTTTTGCTAAGAAGCCCCAAGCACTTTTTTTGCCTCTTGACACTGAACCGTCTGTGTAAATGATAAATCCTAACTTTACATATAGACAGCTATTATAATATGTTCATGATTAAAAAAATATGTATAGAAAAAAATATTAATTTCCTGACTATGAAATTCAATGCACCAACAGACTATAATATTCAGCAGACTATAATATTCAGCAGACTATAATATTCAGCAGACTGTAATATTCAGCAGACTATAATATTCAGCAGACTATAATATTCAGCAGACTGTAATATTCAGCAGACTGTAATATTCAGCAGACTGTAATATTCAGCAGACTGTAATATTCAGCAGACTGTAATATTCAGCAGACTGTAATATTCAGCAGACTGTAATATTCAGCAGACTGTAATATTCAGCAGACTATAATATTTAGCAGAGTATAATATTCAGCAGACTATAATATTCAGCAGACTATAATATTCAACAGACTGTAATATTCAGCAGACTGTAATATTCAGCAGACTGTAATATTCAACAGACTGTAATATTCAACAGACTGTAATATTCAGCAGACTATAATATTCAGCAGACTGTAATATTCAGCAGACTATAATATTCAGCAGACTGTAATATTCAGCAGACTATAATATTTAGCAGAGTATAATATTCAGCAGACTATAATATTCAGCAGACTATAATATTCAACAGACTGTAATATTCAGCAGACTGTAATATTCAGCAGACTGTAATATTCAACAGACTGTAATATTCAGCAGACTGTAATATTCAGCAGACTGTAATATTCAACAGACTGTAATATTCAACAGACTGTAATATTCAGCAGACTATAATATTCAACAGACTGTAATATTCAACAGACTGTAATATTCAGCAGACTGTAATATTCAACAGACTGTAATATTCAGCAGACTATAATATTCAGCAGACTATAATATTCAGCAGACTGTAATATTCAGCAGACTGTAATATTCAGCAGACTATAATATTCAGCAGACTGTAATATTCAGCAGACTATAATATTCAACAGACTGTAATATTCAGCAGACTATAATATTCAGCAGACTATAATATTCAGCAGACTATAATATTCAACAGACTGTAATATTCAGCAGACTATAATATTCAACAGACTGTAATATTCAGCAGACTATAATATTCAGCAGACTATAATATTCAGCAGACTATAATATTTAGCAGACTATAATATTCAGCAGACTGTAATATTCAGCGACGTATAATATTCAGCAGACTATAATATTCAGCAGACTATAATATTCAGCAGACTATAATATTCAGCAGACTATAATATTCAGCAGACTATAATATTCAGTAAGTATGTCCTTGATAATATGCTCATTACCTGCCTGAATTACAGCTTACTGAAGATTTACGTGTGCCAGGTATTGTGCTATATAAAAATAGTCGTCCCCATGTGGGATGCAATTTTTCGTTATTTGAAGCCCCACCCTGGCTTTTGCCGGGGGTCCTAAATATAGCCGGGCCATAGAAATGGCCTCATGGCTGAAAGTGGTTTCTGGAACCTCTCCACGGGTGGTCCTCATCTGCATAGTGGCACTTTGTGTCACCGGGTGTTTGTCTCTTGTCTAATGTCCTGGTGGGGTACAACTAGTGAGAGAGAAAAAGAGAAAGAGAGAGAGATAGAGAGAGAGAGAGAGATGTACCATAAAACATACGGTTGCTGCCTATATTTGCCACCTGCCACGTGGCCAGGGGGTTCTTTAGGCCCGACAATTCAGGGTCGCGTAGCAGATGCTGTTGCCATGAACTGTGAGGGTTAGGATTCTAATTTTGCGGCCGACAGAAAACTCTAACCTTAACAAGAATTTGAACCCAAGTCACCCGCAAGATAGCTGTAAGTTCTTAACTTTTCTGCCAGCCCACTCCTCTATACATGTGCAAACAGCAGTTATTGCACGTTTTTGATGTAAACATTTTTTACAGAATAACATTAACTGTACCAACTTTACAGACCCAAGTGTAAAATAATTATTATAACATGCTTGTTGTCTGACTCAGCTCAGAGAATGTCATGCCTTGTGGTATTGAAAAATAAAAAATCTGTGTTTCTAGTTACTATGTGTCATCTGTCTGCGAAGGGGCATCCGTGGCTAAGGTGTTGCGAGTCCGACTCATAATTCCAACGTACCGCTATCAAAACCCACTGCTGGCTGCGTGGATTTTCATCATGGTATGCGGCGTCACAGGTCGACTCAGCCTAAAATGGGTACCAGGATGGCTGTCCTGGGAAAGTAAAGATGGCGTGCGTAATGCTAACCACATTACCCACCCTGTGCCGATTGGTCTGTAAAAATTTGGGACGCCCTTCCCATATGCCTGATGCAAATAGGGCGTGAAAAGTGATCTTTACTTACTTACATCTCCTGATAACGAAAAAAATAAATTTCTTGAGCAAAATTTGTGTGCCAGTCGAATGCGAGTTGTCCCATAATTTTATGATGTGTGACTGTCAGAATTCTGTCAGTAAAGGTGTGACTCATATATCATGCTTGTCATCTGACTCTGTTCTCACACAGTGACACTGTATGATATGAAATAAGTATGGCCTCGCTTGTTGGTTCAGGGACCCAGGAGATTGGGGGGAGGGGGGAATAACATGTATAAATGGTGACCAGTTAAGGATTTACTTCTTTTTTTTCTTTTGCGTTCGACATCAATCATGCTAAACATTGAGTCCAGTCTGGGTCAAAAATAGGATTGTGCGTTTGAGGTCGCCACCGGTCCCCCATAGCTTCTCTCGCATTATGGATCCCCTGGGCCAGATCCACAGTCTTTGCTGGGAGAGGTAAGGGCAGTACTGCAGTATGTGCTCAGGTGTCTGTCTTTCTGCTCCACAATCACAGGCAGCAGATCCAGTTAAGGATTTACTGAAATCAGATATTTTTGGCTGGAAAATGTAGATATCAGAGCTTAGCTGTAAACCTCAACATGCCAACCGCTCATTTAAGGTAAAAACAGAAACAGAAAATAAAATAATATTTCTCACCAGGTAACGCCAGTGGTATCAAATAATTAAGTGATGGTTATTTTGTCCCCTGACTGTATATATTGTAGCCAGACCACCTGACTGACAGCATTTGAAAAAATATGTGTGTACGTCGCACAAAGACAAATGTATGTTATAGACTTTGTATGTTTTAGTGTGATCATTGCTCCATATTATTAATAAACATTTTTAACTATACTCATTTGTTAAATTTATTTGTGCATTTTAATTGTTAAAAAGACTTTGAAAGATGAAAAGGTGCAAAAAAGAACAACACTGACACAAACTTCTTCTTCTTCTTGGTTCACCAGCTTTAAGCTATGGCAGAAAGTTCTGGCTGTTCGCCCAAATGGACTTTGACTTTGTGTCAGAGCTTGAGTTTTGTGTGTACATCCGATATACTGGCTTATGTGTGTGCAGTTGGTTGTTCCTTGCTGCTGAGGCAGATACACTCTGACTTCGAGGAAGTCCCCAGTTAGTCGACTCCTTGTTGACTGCTTGTTGGGGAGGCCGTGGGTCTGTTCTTGTTTTCCCTACAATGGGGCCCTGGAACACATATAGGAATACAGACATAAACAGTTCATTTGCATAATTTATTGCCTGGCATAGTTCATTGTCGAGATCAAAAGAAATTAAAACTTTTACTAAACTAAACAATTTTAAATTCTGGTGTCAAATTAATACTGTTGTGTGGAGCGGAAACATGCAGCACAACTAAGGCAATCTATATTAATAAAAATGTTAATTTCCAGTGTAGCTCTAAACTCGGAAACTACTTAACCGATTGCTTTCAAATTTCTACACAACGTTGCCTCTGACTCAAAGCGTTT